ACCATTTAAAACATATTATAGCCATATTTTGAAATAAGAAATTTTCATATTAAACCGAATTTTGCAAAAAGTGTGTCAGATTTTTGATCATCGATTAGAAAATGTTAACCAACCTAATCAACTACATATGATCATATTTATTTAGAAAATTGAATCTATAATTCTACACTGCGTTTTTCTACACTCAGCTGATAATATGACAAAAAACAATAACCGTGCAGCGGATAACAATGAATCAAATAGTCAGAACAAAATGTTTATTCATACACAAAAAACGCAATCAAAAACTACAATCTGCGAGATCTTAGTTAACTATAGGAAAACGCCAAACTACAGTTACATGTAAAAAATACTAGTAACTACAACAAAGAGAAAAAAAATCATTCATTGAATGAATTGATTTAAGAACACGAATGGAATATTTCCGTTTGTATTCTGAAAGAATAATGATTTTATTAACGTATACACGAACAAAATGGTATTTTTCTAGGAAAAATACAAAGAAGTTACAATGAGAGAAAATTGTATATAACAAGCAAAAAAAAAAGAATAAAGACAGAGATCTTACGAAATACGTTGAAAGAATTTGTACATATCAGAGTTTACGCTCGAGAAGTTTCATCTAAAATTTAAATAAAATTTTAAATATAGATAACTGAGACCATATATTATTTACTCACCAATTGCTGTTACTTCATGAACAGCTCGTTTTTTTCCTCTTCCAGTTGTACTAGAACGCGTTCTAGAGTCTTTAGCATGTCCACCACCCGTTCCATCATCCATTAATACACGACGATATTGTATCAATGGTTCCCACGAATCACTATCACTAACAACAACATTATTCACCAATTTTTCCAAATAATCATAACTAATAATGAATAGAATATATAATTTTTATAAGAAAAAATAATAAATCATTGTATACTTACATCGCTTTTTTATCTGGTTTAAATAATTTTGATGTAAATTCTGGTAAACATTCTAAAAATAATACATTTGGACCGGGCATACTTGAATCAATTGAATCAGTTAACGGTGTTACACCAAAACGAATACATTCACTAAACGAAAGAATAGACAATGGAACAAAAATTTTCTTAAGATAATATTATTTTATTACCGATGAAGAGCAGCTAATGCTTCACGTTGTTTTCCCATATCAAGACCAAATGATAAATTAAATCTTCGTGCTAATTCCTAGAGTAAATATAGATAATAATAAATTATTTATTAATTTACACTAACTTTATATAGTCACACTTACTCGCAATGGAGATAAATCAACAGGAATTATTCGTTGTTCTTCGTCATCTGATGATACTACTGCAGAGGCTTGCTGTTGATCACGATGTTTAAGACAATCTTTGTAGACCTTAAAATAAAACTTTTGATTTATTGTTCAATTTTAAAAAAAATATATCATTATACTTCTATTAAACTGTGTGCCATTGTTTTTGCAGTATGAATTTTTGATATGTCACGTGCTCGTGTAAATGTATTTTTAATTATATCACCAAAATCGTTGCTATACTAGAAGAAAAAAAAAGCAAATAAGAATACATAAATTCACTATATTTAGATAGATAAAATAGAAGAGAGTAAGAACATTAATTGAGAATGATTTTTATTTACTTTGACATAATATTTCAATATATTTGTTGATGCTTGAATTGGTAATACATTATGTACAATTAATTTACAATATGCGGCTAATAGATTACGTTTTTTATGTAATGCTTCAATTTTAATTTGTTCTTCTTGATCTATATTAAAATAGAAAATAATTTAAATCAAAATAAAATAATTTTATATTAAACTACCTTTTGGTTCATCAACATTAAACACATAGGTATTTAAAAATATTAATAATGCTTGTATTAAATCATCATTTATATCCAAAATAAGTGATTTATATTCATCACTTTTATCCATTAAATGTGGACTTAAAGTAATTAATAAATCACATAATGTTGTATAAGCATATTGACAAATTTGTGGATTTGAATGTAACATTAATTTTTGACATAGACCACATAATTTACGACTACGTTTAACAATTTTTTTTAATAAATCCTAAAAATAAAATAAATTTCTAACAATATAATTAATATTATTGTTAATATTAGTCTCATACTCGATCGAATTGTGTTTCAAGATGAACAAGACCCCATAGAATAGCACGATTAGCTACACCAAAACATTTTTCAACAATCTAAAATATTTAATAATAAATAAAATACTTTTATACGATATTTTTATTATAATCATACTTCAGGAGACATATCTTCGTTGTCAATAGCTGCTTTAAACAATAGATGAATTTTATCCCAAAGATCAGAAGCACCCAAATCATGACATCTAATTAAATAAAAATAAATGAGTACATGACTATGTCTTTTTTATAAAAACTTATCAAAGACATCGTCCGCTGTCTCCAAAGGAAATGAAAGTTTGAAGTTTATTTTTATAGGCAGATGATTTCTGCGTTTTAACCGATTTTAATTCAGTAGTTGTAACTACTAATTTCCAAACGTTTTGAGTACAGTTTTAATGATCAAATCTTTCGCTTTTCTGCATGTTTACAACTACTGACAAGCGGAACAGGATCGTTTTAGCATTCCGAAAATTATTCTATTGTTGATTTGTTTCTTCTCAATGAACATTAGGCACACTTGCAGACAAAGTTTAGTGAAGTTTTCATATTTTTTGTTCCAAAGGAGTAACGCTGACAAGCATTTTTTGCTACTACTCACTGATGAAATGCATCTAATTTTCTCAAATTTAACAATAATGGATATAAATCATCTTCATCAGCTTCATCCTAAAAAATAAATATAAAAATGAATCTAAAAGAAAAAATATTTATTAGAGAAACGTACCATATCTTCAAATATATTCATAGCTGCAACAAAATTTGCCACAATTTTATCTGTAATATTACCACGATAGGCAATAGCACGATTTGATAATGTAAATCCAACGTCACATACACATTCAAAACATTTTGATACAGCATCAAAAATCTATACAAGAAAAAAGTAATTGTGATGTAAAATTGAATGATAATGAGAAGAAAATATTACTTCAGCAGTTGTATGCCGTTGAACAATATCATTTAATGCATTTAAATATGTATCTAAATCACGTTCACGTCGCGTTGTTGTATATATTTCATAGTTAAAATGTAACGGTATTTGTAATAGATTTAGTAATTTATCAGCATCCGCTATATACTAAAAATAAATTATATTAAAATAAATTATTTAACATATTTTAACTAATATTTTTTACTTTATTTAATAATGGTGGTAATGTACCAATAAAATGTTCTGTTAATATTTTCTTATCATCTTCTTTTTGTTTTTGTTCTTTCATGTTGAGCTAAAAGAAAAAGAAAAAAAACATCATGATTTTTTTTGTTTTTAGTTTAATTAAATATTTAAAAATTAAATACTTTTCTATTCGGTTGTCCACGACCAATTGGATATTCTATAAATAACAAAAAAACAAACAAACAATAGCATATTAAATTAATATTAAATAAATAAAAAGAAAGTGAATTCATACCGCCGGTAGCCGCTTCTTTCACACAACAAACCATTATTTCAATAAGACAATTTTCATGTTGATCATCAAGTGCTAAAATTGACATATAATTTCTAAATTTAAAAATTAATAATATTTTAATTTAAATCATACGTTCATCATCTTGATCTTGTTCTTCAAGTAAAATATCTGTCATACATTCCCAATCTTTCATCATAGCATGTAAATCCCACATTGAATCAACAAGATAGGTGGCATGTTCATGAAGCTAATCACACAAATTATAGAAGAAGAAAAATAATTTATTTATATATTTTAAAATTTAATTTATTCAATATTTTATAACATACCTCACTTTCAATAAAAAATTGTACTAATAAATGCATAAAAGATGTATTTTGACTTCGTTTTTTTGTCGTTGTTGATGATGATAATGGTTGTTCAGCTTTATGAAATAATTTTTGATTTAAAAATTCACCTGCTGCTTGTGCTACTTGTCGATGAGAATGATACACTAATTCATAAATATTTTCACAATCTTTATCTTCTAATATACGTTCATTAAATCTTAAAATAAAATAAAAAATTTTTATTATTTTAATTAAAATAATGTTCACCATCTAGACTCGATGTTCGATATACTAAAGTTGTTTCTTCACACTCTATTATTTACTTTAATATGGCTGTGAGTAGTTTGATTGCTTGGACGGCAACTTCATATTCACAATCCACTGTCATTTGAACAATACGATCCTTAAAAAAAAGAAAAAAAATGAAAACAAAAATTTTATGATTAAAATCAAAAAGAAATGATGATGAAATTACTTTGAAACGATTCGTGAATAGTTCTAATTTTCCAACAAGATCAGTTGTTGAAAATAGAGGAATTAATGCTAATAAACATCGTAGACGACAATCACCAACCTTAAATGAAGAAATAAAGTAGAAAATTGATACTATCAAAAATTAAATCAATTTACTTTATCATATAATGTCCAACCAATATATTTTAGATAAATATCATCAAGAAATACCATTGGATAATTTTTCATCCATTCTCCAAGTTCACTCATACATAAACAACGTATATCTGGTACAATATCTCTGAAAGAAAAAAATTTTAAAATAAATTTGTAAAGATTAAAATGTTTTAATCATTTTATTACCTGTAACGATGGATAAAAACACCTTTAAATATGAAATTCATAAAACTTTTTATTTCATTTTCATTGCCCTCTAGCTAAAATACACATAAAACCAAAAATAAAACTAAATTTTATAATATAAGAATAAAACAGAATAATAAATTGTGCACTTATCATTTCTTTTTCTTCTTCAAGAATCACTCATTCTAAGTTTATTTTTCTCTACACAGAAAAACTTTTTTTACTAATGATTTGACTTAATATTTTCAAAATATTTTTTTCTCATTTCATCTTAGAAAAATTGAGAATGAACTCCCGTAAGTTTCTATACTGTATGAATTAATTACCTCTTTTCGTTTTGCCATTAAATTATCTAAACGATCAGTTGCACGTCTTACAGTTGATTTTTGTCGTTCTGATTCATATTGTCGTTGACAACTATCTTTTTGAATACTTATTGTTAGAGCAATATCGACGAGTGCTGTCATCACTTTCAATACTAAAATAAATAATTAATTATTTTCATTATATAATTAAAGTAAGAATAAATAAAATATATATTTTTTTTCTAACCAGCTAATGTTCCTGTATGTCGAAATGCTCGAACAGCTGAATCAGATAATGCTGTTAATAATGTTACCAAATTATCAATCATATATTGATCATAAATAATTGTATAAGAACATTGTTTTATTAACATGACAACAAATTCACAAAAGGATAAACGAAATTTTTTAAATTGTAAACCAGACATTATTATTGGATATTCAGATGAATCCTAAATATATAAAAATATAAATTTAAAAAAAGAAAATATTTATTATATTTTAACAAAAAATTTACTTCTTCAAAATGTTCGGTCATTGCTCGTAACATATCAACATGTTCCATTTTTAAATACATTTGTGGTGTTAATCGTCCTTTACAACCACTACTATCGAGAAAAAATTGCATTAATTCAATTAGTGCTTGATCTCTTTCTGTTTGATATGATTCTATCCATTGATCAACCAATGATTGTATTTGAACTTTGCCTGTTAATAATATGTGATAATATGATTTTTCTGGTGGTAATGTTGAATTATTTGTTGTTGTAAATGAACTACCGTCGAAAGATGAAGAAGCATCTTCATCACCACTTGTGCCTAAGCAAGAAAACACAATTAATATCGATAGAATCTGATAAAAATAATCATACGTACGATTCGATGCACTTATACTTCTTCCACCGTGAACAATTGATGATGCTGTTGCTCCACGTCCTCCACCACGTGATGTTCGTCCACGATTAGTACGTACTCCTCTTGTCGATGTTCGACTTTTTTTCGTTATTGTTTTATTTCCTCCCCAATCATCAGTTCCATCATCGTCCTCCTCCTCATCGTTACCACGTTCAGAAAATACTGATGGTGGTTCAACAAAATCTGGATTTAACGGACGTTGTGTATGATGACGGAGTGATCTTGTGCTACCGCCGTTCATTCTTTTTGTAAAGGAATACAACAAAAACAAAAACAAATAATAATAATCTAAAATAATAGAAAAATTGTCAATTATTTAACTTTTCATCAGTATATCACAAGTTTAAAATTTGTTTGTTTATCAGCAAAGAGAGTAACGAGAGTTATTGATTTAGATTCTTTTATTTATTTTGTATTTTGCACATGTTATGTTAAAATATCAAATGAAAAAAGAAAAAAGGAGATCTCTAACGAAAACGCGAAAGGATAAAAAAAAATCACATGGCTTCAAAAAACATATACAAACGCACACACAACAAGTGGGATAACATATCACATAAAAGGGAAAAAATGTTTACTGATGTATCATGATTAAAACACAACTTTTATACAGAACAAACTGAATACGTCTAAAAAAAATATTGCTAGTGAGAACATTAATTAAGAGAAGAAAATAGTGCACTGTTCTCAAGGAAAACGTAAATTTATCAAAGAACATTTAATCCACAACCCAGTGAAAAGTCAAGGCCAGTCAAGTGCAGTAAAAATACGTCTAATTACCAAAGTCAATCAATACACATGATTCTTACAAACAGTTTATTCATGTCTTTGTTACCTTACATAAGACTATGAATACATGAAGGGAAGACTGACAAAACATACATAAAAGAAATTTAATAATAGGAAAAAAAGGCAATAAATAGATACATCAAAAAATAATACATACAGAAAACAGCTACATATTTCATTAAAACAAAATTTTCTTTATGTTTTATGAGAAAGAATTAAAGGTTAAACATTTTCGATCAAATTTTTTTTCTCTATCATGAACTTTGCATAGATGAATCAGCGGACGGTAGAGAATCAAAAAACTTTGGCCGTCATGTATACATCAAACACTGATTCAAATTTAGATATCATGTATGGGTGAGAAGGAATTAAGAAATGTGTGAACTATTTTGATTGCTCAGTTCTTGCATAAATGACTGACGACAAAGGTCAACAACAAAACAAATCTAAAAAAATTAAAAGAAGGCAAAAAAAGTTTTGACAACGTTTATAAAAAGTTTATTCTCTTAAAAATTTCTCCTTCATCAAGGCTCATTGTGCATGTATTTGTTTTTTTTAATTGCTATCTGATCCAGAATTATTTTCGTTTTCGCTTTGAGACATTGATTGTTCTTTCATTTCAATTTCAACCGGTGCAAATTCTTTTACTTCTTCATCTTTAAATGCATATTCAATTTCTACTGTATACGAAAACTTTGTTTTTGATCGAACCCATTTTTCCGGTGGCTCTTCAGCATTTGGCACGGCTACAGAACGAATCTGAACAAAAAACAAAACAAAAAATTTCCGATTATACATAGAATCAATTATGCTTCAGAAAAATCAGCATACCTGACATTGTGAAACAAATGCTTGAGCCATTGAATATTCTACCTCAGCAATTGGCTCATATTTTTCAGGAATGGGATCAAATGTCGGTATTGATAAAGTGCATTGAAACGCATGTGTCTTATAGGCTCCTGAAATTTAAAAAAATATACATTTTTGAAATTTTTACATAAAAAGTCTATTTACCTTGATCTTTTTTCGGTAATTGATCAATTCGCCAAACAATCGAACGAAATGCTTGCTCATATTTTGCGGTACCACTTGTTGTAGCCATTAAGACAGGCATAGAATCACCACGATGTACCATGAATCGATCAAGACCCTGTAAACACGAAATATTTACACAACGAATAAAGGGATGCTAAACGAGTGTAATAAATAAATAAATATGTGATAACACTATTTGTTACTGTACTAACCAAAACGAAGTTCACCTCTGTAATTCATGAGCTGTGATGATTCATGTTTATAGCTCTTGTTAACTTAAGTGATGAAGTTTTCTTTTGGTTATCGGTTCAAACCAGTTTCAAGACAAAACAAATAAATCAGTTTAGTCTTTTGTCGAAATAGAGCTACGAGTGTACGACAAGTATCCGCCATAGAACATGATTGGCAAGAGATGACCATCATTTCTGTGGAACTTTCAAAAATATTATTCTATTTTCTAAAAGGCAGGCACGAATCGCACCCCTTTTCTGGTAAGTAGGGGATTTTTTTTTTAGGTCTATTTTTTTGTAGATCTATTCGTTGAAAATGCATCAACATTGAAATCAACCATCGACAACATTAAATCAGCAAAGTACTCCGGCAGTTACCGAGCCTGATGTAACATGCCTAGTTGGGACTATTTGATAGATTCATATGCTTCACAACTTGTTCACATAGCGTTTTTAACGAAGATTTTCTTTATCTAATCTAGAAATTAGAGGTACTTCTGATATGAAGAAAAGGAGACAGTCTCTTGCTTGTTAAAATGAATGAGAAAGTGAGGGATATGGCAGTTCGCCGTCTAGAAAACAGAACAATATTTTTGAAAGTTGCATAGAAATTATGCTCATTATTATTGCCAATCATGTTCTATGGTGGATACTTGTCGTACACTCGCAACCCTATTTCCACAAAGGACTAAACTGATTTATTTGTTTTGTCTTGAAATTGGTTTGAACCGATAACCAACAGAAAAGCTTATCAGCACAGATCTTTGGTCTAAAGTGTAACTTCTCCATTCAAACGTGATGGACTGGATCACGGATGGGGCTGGATGAAATCTATATCCTGAATGTGCACGTTTACTATACGGTTGCTCACTCAAATTGTAGCGAATCACAGAATATATGATTAGTTTTTTAAAACACTGTTTCTGTGCAATATATTCTCCTTTAGCTAGTCCGTATATACAATGTATATTCAGTTTTGTCGGTGGATTCACGTACGTCCGCAAGCATTACGTGTATGATGTGAGTAAAATTTTCAGATTTCCAGCAATTTCTCCCTTTATAAACTTTCACTTTATGTTCTTCCTCGTTCAGAGGAATTTAAAGTAGGAGTTGCACAAAACTTCATTACTTAATAGTTAACGAGAGCTATGAACACACGAAATATGAAATCATGAATCATCACAAGTCTTGAATTACAGAGGTATTTTGCTAGTGTTGTTTATAATTCCTGAAAACTTGACATATAATGTAGGAATCATATAGCTCAACCCATGTGTGATCGAGAAGACTCATTGTCGACAGCCGACATGCGTGTCGACGCACATGTTCGTTTTAGATCTCTATTAGTTTGTTCCAGCACACACATCATTGAATATAAGTATCAACTGTTTCTTAAAGTATTTTTTAATTGAAATAAAAGTAAATAATAGACACTGTTTCTAAATATTGATTAGCTCACAATATTTTTTAAAATTAAAAATTGTTGAATTGAGATCATCACACGCACGATTGATACTTTTTGAAATAATAATTACAAGTAATTTATAGGCTCCCATTCTATATTTTGCAACAACATTTAAAAATCCTTGACATGATTCAGAATTATCACACAAATTCCATGTATAATACTTAAGATAAGCTTGAAGAAATACACTTTATAAATTGTTTAACCTTCACATGTCTGAGATTCAAAAATCTATAAGACGAGCTTAACATAATTTCTATCATGATTATATATACGTCAAACTCTTCTAATCGATTTCACTTTCTTCTTTTTAGACTTAATTCTATCTATGTAGATTCTTGAGCTGACAAGTCACAATATTAGTTAACATATGTTTGTTAATTTCTAGTTCTTTATATTAATCATGCTAATAAAAGAGTGTAACTATCTTATTTTATTTCTCTCGCCTCCACATGAAACAAATATCAAATAAGTTTTCCTATTTTTTTCCATTTCATTATTGATGAAGATTAACGGTTATTATTTCTGATAGCGAACCCACTCATACAATTTTTTTTTTTCTTTTTATTCTTTCCGTTGATTAAAGATGACTACTTCTATCTATCTATTTTGTTAGAATGGAAAAAGAAAAATCAGAACGAGCTATATAATCGCCTATACTCATTTTTATTGTTTCTACTACATACACATCATCAAATTATCTAACATGAAATGTAGACATTTCTATGTCCCGTTTCCTATTATAATGGATAACAAATATTAATAATTCCAAAATACGACGAAATTTTCTTTTTCTTATGCTTATTCTTCTCTAGAGCTCATTTCCGTTAAATAAAATCATTTTTGTTTGTATGTCTCGTGTAGGTTGTCAATAAGTAAAGAAAAAAAACATGTAATTTACGTCAGAGAAAAAAAATCAACAAACCTGTAAAAAAAGAAGTATTTGGCATATAATAAGAGGAGGAAAAAAAGAAAGCTGTCAAAATCTATTTAGAAGTAATCATGAATAAAAATGTTTCGATAGGTTCATTTAGAGTGTTAAAATAGAAAATGATACTCTTCTGCATCTTTCACACGACAAAAAAAAAGAAAGCCATATTTACTTTTATTTTGCCTGCTTTTCGTCGAACACTATGAATTGCACCATAACGAAATCGTTTTTCAACTCGAAACATATAGACCCATGCATCAGGCACTGGAAAACGTATTTGAATATCTTGACATGGACAATGATCATCGGTATCTTCTTTTGATGATGATGTTGCAACATCTACAACTTTTGACAATAAATTACGATTAAAAAAACTAGATACAATTAATTCGATTCGAATTGATACTTGTCGTTGCAACACTGACATAAAACAATAAACCTAAAATACGGCAGTAGTGATTAACACATAAAATAGCGTAGAAGAGGCATAGACATTCCATCATTTCCATGTTAACTTGGTAAAAAAACAGCAACAATTAAAGTTGATATATGCTAAATTAAACTAATCGAATCTCAAAATGCCTCTTCAAATATGAAAATTTTAATTTATTTCCTGAAGTTTTCTCTTCTTACTTGTAATGGTAATTCAATATTTTGTCTTGGTCTTGTTCTAAATCGTATAATTTCTATTTTTTGACTATCTGGTGGTGTAAATTTTAATAAATGAGTGTTCTCATATTCCGTTTTATCAATGACTGTTGATAATTCACATTGTTCTGGTTTAATCCAATATTCTTGTAAGGTTTTATTTAATATTATTTCACTTCGTTTATTTATTTCTTTACCATGTCGAAACCAATCATTAATACCAATTTCAACCGTTGGTGTATAACCATTTAAAAATGCCAATACGAATATTCTTGTACGCGATTTATGCGATAAAATATGACGATAACGATCAATATTTGCTTGATATTCATCAACAACTTTTACTGTTACTTCTTCTTTAATATGTTTCTGAATACGATTTCGTGGAACGGGCATTGTCCAAAATAAATCTTCTAATATAATTGAAAATTTTTTCAAATATGAATAATTTAGTTGACCAAATTTAACAATTTCTTGTTGAACACAATTTGCATGATCTAATAGAAATTGTTGTGGTTTATTTGGACGAGTAAATTTTCGTATTAATTTTTCTGGTAATGTTACCAAACGTTCAATTCGTACTTGAGGTATTTCACGATAATTGGCTTCAAATATTTTTATTGTATGAATTTTTGTATATTGATCATATTGTTGTAAGTTAAATTTTGTTAATTGATAATATGATTGTAATTCAATTTCAGCAAATGGTTGTTCAATGGTTTGTGGTAAATAAAAACGTAATTTTTTTTCATCAAAAAATATTCGAACATAACATTCTTGCCATGTACGTGTTTCACTGATACGTTGAAATGTACTTTTGTATAAATCTTTTTGTCTCAGTGGTGTACGAATATGAAGTAACCAACCATTTAATTGTTGTAATTGTAAGTCGTTTATATCGTTGTGATATGCTTCTAATGGTAAACCATCATTTTCTTCGTAAAGATAGATGGGTGGTGGTGATGCGCGTGATGCTGAAACCTAGTATTAAAATAAAACAATTGTGATATAGATGTTAAGCAACAATACATAAATCAAACTGACAGATACGAAACTTTTTTCTACAAAAAGTCTTAGTGTGCATGACAAACCATTGTTCGCTAATACTGTCAACAAATCAGAAACGGATGATTGAAGGAAAATTTAGGACTTGTATCAATAGAAAACTTCTTTTTCTTTTTTTTCAATTAGATAATTTAACTCAAAAGCAGTTAGTTACTAACCTTCTTTTATATTGCATATTAAAACCACTTCTTTTCATGAACATCACCTATACAACAACAAATAAATATACACTAACACAAAAGCACAGAACAACTATGCAACAACAATCACAGCAATTATTTGATAATGTTTATCTATTACCTTTTCAGTTTGTGATACAGAAGTTTTTCTTTCTTCTGTTATCGGTTTATCATCATCGTTAAACCAGTCATTAATTAAATTTGTTGGTGTTTCTTCTGGTTTATCTGTTTTTTTATTTTTTAATGATTTTGTACGAAACATTGCTAAAGGATCATCATCATCTTCCTTATCGTCCGAAGCTGATGACGATGAACTAGCATCGTCACTAATTGCTGCTTTTTTTGAATTTTTATTTTTATGCCCCACATTGATCGTCGTCGTCTTTTTCATTTGAGATGGAGAGGGAGGCGGTGGAAGTAAAGGCATAGGACTAGCAGGTATGGCGCGTAAATTTTGTTTACTCTTGTCGTCAATTGAAAATATCATTTGTTTTGGTAAATCTTCATCATCGTCTTCAGATTCATCACTCATTGATGGTTTTTTTATCGGTATAATTTTACTAGAACGCGGTGACTCTTTTTTCGCAGCAAAATAACCATCAGGTACAACATTGCTATCATTCATTTCATTCGTTGGTTCATGTATGAGGATTTCGGGTAAATTTTCAATTGATGGACGACGAACAGGTAGGATTGTTGGTACGGCTGTAGGCGTAGTAATTTCTAATGATGATTCTTCTAAATATAAAATGGAATATATTTTTCTGATAGTTTTGAAGGTGAGACAACCTACTTAACGTTGGAAGTGCTTGTTGCTGTGGTGGTAGACCAGTTGTTAATGTTGGAATAGGCTTATATATTGAACCCAATAAATCTTCTGTTGATTTCATCATGTTAATATCGATTTTTTTCGATGAGCCAAGTAATTTCGGATCTACTGAGCACATAAGATCATCTGATTCTGTTATCCAATCAAGAAATTTATCATCAAAAGGTGTAGAACTACTGCCTGATGCTAATGATGTGCTCGACGTTTGTAAGCGTAACAAAGTGGGTGACACCAGTTGTTGTTGTTGTGATGGTTGTAACAAATTTTTTAAAGAAGAGGCTGCGGTTAATGTTTTAGTTGCGGAAGGTGATGCATTGGTTATGTTACTTAGACTATCACTTTTAAGAACTTTTGATTGTTGTTGTAGATGGGGATGAGTTAATCCAAGCAAGTCGTATGACGACTGGACGCGATTTGGAATTGCTGTTGAATCGTTACTTGTTACTGGTAAAGAGCTAAGATCAACATCAACATCAAACAATAAATCGACTGGTGAAACCTAAATAAAGAAGCAAATAAAAATCATTAAATAACATAAAAGCACAACACATTCTGATAGATTTTATAGATGTGTTCTAATAATTTTCACTATAAATAAGTCTGTAATTTACTTGATTTGTATTCATTGTCGATGCCGACGCTATAGATGTCGGTACAGAAAATGGATTCATTAAATTAATACTTTTTGAATGAGGTATGGGAAACCCCAAATTTGATGATAAAAATTGTTGTTGCTGCGGTCCTATTCCATTTGCATTAGGTTTTAATTGCTGCTGTTGTGATTGAGACTGAGGTTGAAATGAATCTAAAAAGAAGTCCGTGAAGGCATTTGTTTGTTTATCTAACGTGACTGGTATTGGTTCTTGACTACGAGCTGGTAAAGGTTGCTGATAAGCAGCCCAATTGGTCGATAGCAATGCTTCTTTTCCACTACGCGGACGAACAGATTCTTCATCATCATTTTCCGTCGCTTTCGCATCATTGGAAACTGTTGCAAAATTATCTGTTGTAAATGGTACATCATCGAATTTTTGCGAAGAAGCGGACAGTTTTATATTGCCTAGAAATAGAAATTTTTAGAATGAATAATATTTTGTTTTTTCTGACTAATTAAAACTTGCGAACAATCTTACCCGACACACCGAATGGATCAATATCGGCACCACTAGTCGATGTGATTTGATCGTAATGATTACTGAACGGGTCAGAGATCTGTTCTATATTGCCGTTTGTTGTCACAGGAACGCTAATAGTTTTCAAGCTATTATCGTCAAATCCAAATGCATCGGCAAACGTCGATGGTATGCTGACGTTTGATGAAGTCATTGTTTATCTATTTGACTGTTACGTCCATTGTGGACATAAGGTTCTAAAAAAGAATGCAGCACTATGTTTACATAAATAAAGCAACAAATAGCCAGTGCGCTCGAGGGCTACAAAGGAGATACGCAGTGTGATAAACAAGAACTGGCTCATTTGATCATCATACGACCGACTGATGTAGACTACAGAAAAATAGTGAGAGAATCTAGCCTATGACAGTTTTCAAAATAGAAAATAGATTACGATAGTCTTCAGGATATACTTTGGTCTAACCATGCGGTTTCTAAGGGAAAACCATCGAACTGACACTTGTTTCTCAACGTACAGATTTATAAACTTAGTTACAAGAGAAAGTGTTAACGGATGTCGGGAGGTATTAGTTACATATTTATTTGCAAGTTTACAAATTTTAACTGATACAGTATAAATTTCCCGTAGAGTTTGTCCTTCCTAGCGGAAGTAGAAACAAAAAAAACCGACTGTCGATTATTCTCCTTCTTCCTCTATCCTTGCATGAACGATCGACATGCGTCAGTCAGTCATATACATACAAACAAAGAACAATTGTAGATTCGTCCTTTCGTTTAACCAACTGCTTTTTAAGTAAAGGCAGACATAATATTGCGAAGACAAAGTTATAAAATCGATAATTTCGTTCGATTATTTACAGTATTCCGTCTGGTTTAATGTCGATTAGATCAAGAGATACAAAAACTCTGATATACAGCTCAACTGAGTAGTTACTGGTAACGCCACCTACACACTGTATTTCTTGTTACATCTTGAAGTCTTAAACGTATTGCTGACTGCATTTTTTGCCGTTTGTAGTCTTAATGATTTTATTTGTTTGCTTTTTTCTGTAACAAACCCCCTCTTCACTGTCACTGAACTATTCTTTTGTTGAACAAAAGAAACAAAGCAGTACTTTTTTAATATAACAACGTGCGTTCTGCAGTCTGACGTCATGTCATAATACTAATAATAATTTAGTTTAGATTGTTGTAAAAATGGAATATAACCAATCTTATAGGAACGACGTGCAGACAAATGAAAAATGTATGTTTTCTTTCTTTTTTGGGAAAAACCCGTTTGAGTACGCAAGTTGCATTTTCTCTTGATAGATCTTTGATATGATAATAATAATATTATAACATATTAAATAAATTTCTTATTTAATACGACTCTATTCAAACAGCTATCACTAACGATCATTATAAGAAAATACTATTAAAATAAAATGTTGAAGTTCTTACCAAAGGTTTTATCTACTTTATTTTTCTGTTGGTGATATGATCAGATTTTGTTTCCTTGTCTTTTGAGGTATAAAGCGTTGCAAGTCGCCTGTTCTGATGAAAAGTTAAAGTCCAGAGACAGACCGATCCCTCGTAAGTGGAACTACTGATCGACCGTTGCAATTAGTAGATTCTTAATATTTTTCGATAATTTGATAAACATATTAACATAACTCTATGGTATAAAATTAAACTAATCGAATCTCAAAATGCCTCTTTAAATATGGAAATTTTAATTCATCTCCTGACTTTTTCTCTTCTTACTTGTAATGGTAATTCAATATTTTGTCTTGGTCTTGTTCTAAATCGTATAATTTCTATTTTTTGACTACCCGAAAGCATGAAAATTTCCATCTTTGCATAAAATCTTGAAGAATTCGTAACAGTTGCTGTATAGAACAGATAGTACTTAAATGAAGTACACTACATCTTCTAATATACTTTTTTAGAATTTATAGTGCACAAAAATTCAGTTTATTTCTAAATTAGTTGAATTTCATCGTCATTCATTGACCCGTTAAAATATCACAGAACGAAAAAGCAGTTTAGGTACGATAAATAAAAGGTTTCCATTGACATAAGGAAACAGTACAACATAGAAAAATGCATATTAAATGCTGAATTAATTTTATTCTTTTGTCTTTGTACAAAACTCATCGTGTTTATTTCCGTTTTTTTTCTGTTGAATTTTCACCAATAGACGGTAATACCGCTTGTTTTTTAAATAGAGTTTTTCCAGGTAAGGATGTGGGATCATTTTGTCTATTCTCGATATAGATCTAAAATAGATATTATATAAATAAAATTATTCTACTCATCTTTTTCAGACATACAAACCTTATTTAATGCTATTAATAATTCATCAATTTTTTGTGGAAAATACGATACTTGATCATGATAATGAACTCGAGTGCCATCAAATGGATTCAAGTGTAATTGAGCCATTTCATTCGGACGACCGATACCTAAATAAAGAAGAAATGTGTCTCGTTTAGTCTATTATTATTTATTAATCATTCTAAAACAAAGGTCAAATTTACCGGTCCATTTTTTGAATTTATTAATCATAAATGTCATCATTTCATATTCATTACTTTGTTTTGCAATGTCACTTCTCACTTGTTTAAAATAATCATTAATTATCGATATAAACATGTTCATACATATGAAAACTACAAATACGATAAACATTGAGAAACATAATGGTCCAAGTATCGGTCCAGCTCTCATCAAATCTGATACATTAAATTTCAACAGCATCATCTCAAAACACATTTGTGCTGCTTTTAAAAAATCAGAACATTCCCATAATGTGGTTACAAACAGTAGATAGAATAGACATAAAAATGCTACAAATACAATGGAAAACATGAATCCAAATGATAATAGATCACGAGCTGCTGTTTGTAATGTTGTTGCCAATATTGACATACGACGATTAAATCTTAACAGACGTAAGAATTTTATTGTACCAAAAAAACAGCAAAAACCTAGGAGAAATGTGAGCACATCATTTAAATAACTTGCTAATTGTAAATCGATGTAGATATAGCCATTTGTTTGAGCAAATAATGTACCAATACGATTTCCCTCATAAATACGCCAAAAGTATACACCCATTCCACTCCATGAACATGCAATTATTCCCCATTCAGTATATGTCCAAAATTCTCTGAAATAAGCTGTTTTCATTTTAATTAACAATCGTATTTCACGCATCATATAATAAACAATAAATAACATGTACAAGATAGAACATATCAATCTGAATAATGTAGAACCTTCGATAAACAAAAAAAAACAAAATTTACTTTGTTTGAAATGAAATTTGAAATTTACCGTCATTTATTTGCATAATAGTTAATGGTTCAAAACGTGCTTCAGTAAAAACACCACCAGTTGGTAATAATTCTAATAAAAATGTTACATATATGAATATATTTACATTTGGATTGTACATATTTAATTTAATAAACACTGCACGTGTTTGCTTATCGATCCATGATAAATCTCTTAATAGTGTAATATTTTGTATCATATCGATCATTTTTCCACGAAATTCATACAAATAACCACCACCGGCATCTGAAATATTCAAAATATATGAGTTTTGATAAAAGTTAGTTGAAAGATCTTGATTCAGGGCCGCAAATAGGAGCAGAATATTAGAGGAGTGTAAAACAAAATTTCTCTTTGAGGTAGTATGAAATTGATAAAAAAAATTTTGTGCAAGGAATAACGGCTAAAATAATAACAGCTTTATCAGTTATTCGGGGGGTACGCACCCTCCCGTTATTTGCGACCCTGTCCTGATTATGTTATATACAAGACTTACACGTTGCATGGTCTCCAGCATAAGGATATGTATCTGTTTCTGAACCCGTACGATACGTAAAAGCATTGAGAACTGTAGAACTATAATTTGACCATGCCCCAAACGTTTCATTATAGAGTGACCAACCAGGATTGAAATCTCGACGATCTTCATTTAATATGCTGTAGCCCGCTTCACAATCATCAATTAAATTTTGAAATGCCTTTGCTACGTCACACAAATCTAGAAAAGTTTTTAAACTGAATTTTATATCCTTGTGACCATATGATTCCTCTATTACTTGGTTTAACACGTAATTGTCGCATTGTTGCCCATCCAATCATTCGATTTGTTTTATCGTTTATATATCCAGTTAAATTTCTTGGTTCATCACCATTATACCATCTCTCAGCGCGGATATTTGACATAAAACTTTGATTTAACCAATACCAAAATTGTTCAATTTCAAATATCTGAATAGAAATATTTGAAATAATATTTTATTAAATATACACGTCATACATACGTTTGTATAGTCAACATAAGGTACGTCAATATTCAAAAAATAGCTTCTTAAATGCTGAACAATTAGATTTCCATTTGGATCACGATTTGAATAACTGACAACATACAAAATCCATAAAAATGAGGCATAGGCAATTATTTCTCGAATAATATCCCACATCTTTATTTCTTTCAAACGTTTTTCTCTTGCATCCATTATTTCAGCTTCATTCAACGGTATATAACCGGTTTTAGAACGGATACTAAGTAACGATGTATCCTACAGATGTAAATAAAACGATAATAGAGTTACATACAGACGTTATTTTCCTACATACTATATTCATATATTCTTCATCATCGCCCAATAACATTTCTTCCTCATCTTCTATCAGTAGTTCATCATCATCTTTTCGAATAACTAGTGCAAAGAATATTGCAAAACATACAACCTAAACGAATAATAGATATTTTGTTAACAAGAAAAAAATAAACATAAATGCTCACTTTAATTGGTTGAGTCAAAAGTATAGACGTAAAAAATCCTGAAACAAATAAACATTTTTATCTATTTTCCTTATTAAAAATAGATTAGTAATATGCATCACCTGATATTAATGATGTTAACCATTTTTGTGTTTTTAAATCACCAAATTCAATTCCGCGTGCAATTATGAATACCGCTGATATACCCACGAGAAAAAATGAAATTAAATAGGCAATTATAATACACCACCATGGAAATGTTCGTTTTTGTTTTTTCTTCGGTACTCCATATTTTTGGTCTGTATTGACAATTACAGGCAATGGTGATGCAAGATTTGTACGCATTACATCAAGCTCTTTTGTAGAAAGTATTAGATTTGGATTGATAACATAACTAGAAATGAATAATATTTTTTGTTATTTTAGTCAATTATTTCAGATATAAATAGCTAACTTTGTCAATTGTGGATTCACGTCTGTTAAACGGGTATGCTTTTGTTGCTGTTGGGGACGTTGTATTTTTTTAATTGCTTCAGTAACTGGTGATGGACGTTTCTTTCGTCGTCTTGATCGTCGAAATAATTCAACAAGCAATGTACTTGGTAGAAAACAAATTAATTCCACCATAACACCGATTCCAATCTAAAATTAAACTTATTCATTTTTGAATCAGAATAACTAAAAAAAAATTCAATCTTAGAATAAATAGTTTCGATTTTTTCTTTTCGTTTTCCACTTTCGATGATAAATGGATTAAAATTCTAGATTAGTTTAGGCGAAGCTGAGTTATTGATCCTTGCAGAACGACACTTCACTATACATTTAAAGTTTAAACTCATTTCGTGTCAATTTCAATTTGAACAAAATAATAATACTAAAAATGTGTAAAAATCGATTATTATAAAGATGTTCTTAAGGTGATACTTCAGACGTCTAATCAACACTTTCATCATTGTACTTTCATTGATATTACTGTTCAATGACTGTCTTTAGATTTCTCAATGTACCATTTGAGCTCTTGAGCCACAAGTGGAATATGCTACTTAAATTTCTTTTAGACAGATTGCAGAGTCTAATTTAATTTATACTTAAACTCATTCAGTTCATTTATTTATTTTTTTAATTACTTGTTCTGGTGTGACATAAAATGGACCAATCGACAGACCACCACTTGTCGTTTTTTTTGATTCTTGTGTTTGATCGTAGTACATAATGTTCATTAACATAGACATGAATAGTAAAACAAAGCAACATGTGCAACGTTGAAAACGTGTGAATCGTGTCGATGGTGGACGAGAAAATACGCTAAACCATAAATGACCATCACTCATATTTTGATACGTTTTTTTCGACATTAAATAGGCAAATTCTGTTTTTTGGGCTTCACCAGCAACAGGTAATAGACGATCAACCTTAAAAATGAATAAACATTGGTTAATTATCATAACATTGAAGACTATTCGTTACCGATCCATCATCTTTTTCTACTGCAAGCCATTGTTGACAAATAAAATGCTGTTTTTCCATTGTTTGAAGATCCCGTACAACAATATATTTCAAAAACCATGATGCTGATGTGCCTTTGCCTGTATTATCATGCCAAATGCGAATATAGTTTAATTGACCCAATGATCTATTCAAAACAATAGAATTTAGGTTCACATTTATTTTAAATTGAGAAGAAAATCATTTACTTTGGAACAGACATCACAAAAGCATCAATTCCACCACGTTGAAGTATAGTACGATTTGGATCTTCCAATGTTCGAACACCTGTTTCATCATCATCACCCGATATTATAAAATGTACCTAAATGAACAATATAAAATTTACTAAGCATATAAGATAAAACGTTGTATTATACATACTTTTGATTTTGTTCCAGCATCTTTTCTCAATCCCGTAAATACAATAATTTGATAGTAATATATATCGGCGGTAAGATTATCTGGTAGTGGTGTAACACCCAACTATGAAAATTAGATTTATAAATAAATGAATTACCATATTAACAGAAAAAAAAATCACATACTTTTTCCACATCTTTTTTGTCTTTATATCGAGCATATATTAAAATGATAAGATATAAAACAACAGTTAAAATAACTGTTAAATAGATGGTTTTATTTCGTGAAAAATCAGCATTAGCAAACACATAATTCCAGTTAATTGGTGCTGGTAATACTACCCATCCTCCAGCGAACGTGGTTAAATGGTTTGAATAACAATGAGTTAGCGTATGACTAGTTTGAGGACCAACCTAAATTAAATTAGTTTAGTAGTACGAAATTATTTTATAAAATCTTATTTTTAATTTACCGTAAGTCCAGATGATTGCCAATTCGAATTCACATCAAGATAATAACAGCCCGATGTATATATACGTACTTCGTAATTCGAAGAAAAATTGACAGCTTGATCGTTAATTGGTGGACCAGTGGGTGCAGCACTTCCATTTGTTGGACAATACGTTTGTAATTCAGTATTATTTAGCTCTCTAATACCAAAAAAAGCCAAAAGATGATCTTTTGTTCGTGTATTATCAATAAAATAACTATAAATTAATCCATCCGTTGCGGAGAGTATGAGATCTAGAAAGTAAAATAGAAATAAATTTCACAAATTGAAAAAAAAAAAATAACACACATACTTGTTGGACATAATATACTCCAACCATCTGTCATATTTTTTGTACTATTTAACGTTGGTATACCATCAAATTTCATTATTAACATATAACCAAGATTTAAATTAACTGGTTGCATTTCAAAACTTACAGATAATGTTTGGTTTATGTTTGATGGTGTTATATTAGTGTAATGGAGAAAAAATTGTTTATTATTATTTGCTGACGATGTTTGTAATGCAGTTATACTCGTTACATTTTGATATGTCATTGGAGATGGACTTAAATTTTGTTCACGTGGAATAATTATTTCAATTAATACACTTAAATTACTTATTGATATTGTTGTACCCGTTTCATCCGAAAGTGTTAATGAAACACTCGTTGAAAGATTTGTATTGGTAATTAAACGTCCATTTTGACCTGCTAATGCTAATGGCAACATTACAGACTAAAAATATAGTTACTAAAATGTAAATAGTAGCATCCTCTTTGAGAAATATTAACGTACATTGAGAGTAATTGGTGTACTATTTGTACAATTTTGAACTTGTGTCATTGTTTGACAAAAATTAATTGCTGGTAGAGTAACTCTTGCCTCATCTGATTGTGATATTGTAATACTTGTTAAGTTACTTGATTTTACTTTTTGTAATGATAATGCTACAGCCGATGTGTTGATTACAATGTTTTGTCCAATATTCAGGTGATAACTTAGAACATTTTTTAGCATTGATAAGGAATTCTGTGCTTGTGCTGTAATAGTATTTGACTAAAGAAAATTACATGGAAAATATTACTTTTTTATAGAAAAATTGTGAACATACATACCGTTTGTTGTTGATAATAAATATTTCGATTTTTTTGTATTGTTTCCCATGAAAAATCATCACCGTCAGCAAATAAAGCTATCAAATAAATAATATTTACTAAACTAGTTTTATAAAAGCAATGAGCAATAGACACGTACTAGGATTTGACCATACAGTTTCCAGATCTGTTTCATAATCGACCGGCAACATATTTGCACGATCATAATCAAGATTCAGCACTTCAGCACGTTGTAGTAGTGGTGCATTGGCTCCCTATTTAATTAATTAGAGAGTTTTTAGCATCACTTTTAAATTGAAAGTGTACAATGCAATGTTTCAAATTAATTATAATTACTCTTACCGTGATAGCATTACTTGTACAAACTGCGATACTTTTGGCTGCATTGAAAGCATCTTCAACTGAAATTGTTTGTGCCATATTATTCAATGCATTTGACAATTGTAAACATTTATTCGAAGCAAGTGTCGAAGATTGTCGACTCAATTCGGTTGTTGCTTCAGTGAGATCAGCTACTGCTGCTGCTTGCAGATTTATACTATCCACATTGGTTATAGATAGATTCCCGATGAATTGCATGACATAATCACGTGCTGTTGCACGTAAATTCAAATTTGAACTATAATTTGCCATAGCAGCGGTTGTGTCTGTCGTATTCGATATATTTTGCTTAAATTGAACAAATGTTTTGTTATTTTATATCTAAGGCTCAAGGAGAATAAGAGCTTACTGAAATTGTCGATGCACCAAGTTGAGCGACCATTATACCAGTTACCGGTATATCTAGACGTAGAAATAATTTCGGATGTTCATATTTAGCATTAAATTACAATTTTCTCTTACTTATGATCGCTAATTGTTCATCAGCTAAACTCATCATATTTAACATTTGTGATATTGACAACAAAACTTGACTAGCTATCCTTTGATCTCCACCATGTAGCAACTGCTCGATGACTCCACCATCAATATCAAGTTGTTGATCATCTTGAATGCGTTGAAGAAAAGTCATTATTGTTACATTGTCTGCAACCACCTTTAGAAAAAAAATAGTGAAGAGAATAACAAAGATTAAACGTATAAACTGAATGATTAAAGAGTAAAAAAAATGAATTCAGATATAAAGTATTTTCGTACTGTGACTTGAGGCATTGAATATTCTGTAATCGCATCATACACATCTCGTATTTGTGCTACCAGATTCAATGTGGGATTACCTATTGGTAACCTCACTTGTAAACTTGTTTGACTGGTAAAACCAATTGTTGTTCGACTTGTATTATCCGTTGTCCAGGCTGAAATGAATATAATTGAGACTCGTTATCAAAAACACATGTGTGTAGGGCTTGACCACGTAACTTTGCTACTACAATACAATTCTGCTATGGTTACTTTTGTATTTTGATTATTTTTATAGTTTTTAAATGACAATATGTCCAGTGCTCGGCAACGTCTTCAATAGAAGAGAAAAGTGTGTGAAACATTTATAAGACATTTTTACGCTCGATATGTACTTTTGTTTAGCTGCTCTCAATTTGAAAAATAAAAAGAAAACAAAATGCAAAAATAATCTGTGACAAAATTATATTCCAATAGTTATCCGGCGTCTAAGTCGTATATCAGGTTAATGCTTACTATAAAACATATAATCTTGTATTCCGTCGGTATCAGCCCAGTTAGAACAAGTGATAGTAAAAACTGTGCTCGTAGTTCCACTGGTTAAATCAATTGAGCATGTTCCATTAACAGGCGGAGCATTGATCACAAACCGAATCGATCCTGATCCAACTAATATACCGTTTTTATCGGTTACAATATACATTGCTTGAAAACTCCAATAGATAATATTTGGATTATTTACGAACAATGCGCTTGTTGCTGTAAAATTTGTCGAATCTTCGCCTAAGATACATTTGTAAAATGAACTTTATTCTTATAACGGAATAATATATTCTTACCATAAAACCATGTTTCCAGATATTGTGTCATATTCGAGTATAACACCCATTTTACATCTGTATTTGGATAATCAGTAACAAAGCCTTGATACACACTCCATGATATTTTAATATCTTCTGCAATACTACAACCGTCTACACAAGTCGAAGTGAGAATTACTTGAGTTGTGGGATTAATTCGTTGATATTCGACATTTGGTTCACACATTTTAATAATACATCTAAAAATCATTGTTGTTTGTATTTTCAAATATAATTAAATGTTCATTTACTCACGATATGGATACTTGAACAGAATTGATATCTTGACTCTGAACTAATAGATAACCGCTGTACTGTAAATCAGAATTATAAATATTGGTTAAAGTTGCTTTAAATTCATATGTGTGACCTGACTGTAATGCACCAGCTTCTATAGACACCACAGATTTATTATTACCCGGACCATATTTATACGTTTCATTACCTAAAAATAAATAAATTTAATTTATATCTCTTGTTAAAGTTGAGTGGAAAGAAAGTAAGTTACCAGGACTGGCAAAACAAGACGGATTCATTGTATCAATTCTCGTGTCTTCTATCGTGAATAGTATTCCATTTAAATTAGGATAATTCGATTGACCATAAATGCGACAATAATAGTCATAGGACCAATTCTAGAAATGATTATTCACTTTTTATTTATGACACAATAATGTGTGTGTATATGCATTGAACTTACATAAGAAGCAAAAAACGTTGAATCTGGATCGATTGTCCAAGCACCAGGATTCAAAACAAGATCTTGTGCTACACCACGAGTAATGGATGATGTTCCGTTTGCTAACATATTTACCTAAAAAACTAAGTACGTTTAATAAATAGTATAAAATAACGACAGCACGTTAATTTACAACAAGAGGCGATTGAACAACTTCAATATACGTTGTTTCGTAGGATAAAAATGTTTGTTTTGAATTCATATAAACGGTGTATTTGAATTGATATGAACCGTACTGAAGTGTCATGGCTGGAATATAAATTTCTGCTGTTGTCGATGATGACAATCCCTTAACAATATTGTTCAACATTTTTGTTGATGTACATAAGCCACTTGTTGTATTACATTGAGCAATTGTCCATTCTTTTGTATTATTCAGCGATAATGAACAATTCAATGCTGTGTAAGCAATAACTGAAAATGATTCACTACGAAAAACTTGACGTGCCCAACGAAGGATAGGATTATGAATGTCAAATGTAATATAGGGTAAATTACAAAGACTACCAGTAATAGGAAATGAAAAATAGGTTTCTTGTGTAGTTCTTGTCATCGCATTCCATGCGTAACCGTATACAAATGCTTGTGATTGATTAAATGCTCTTGAAAATGTCACTGTTGTAGAGGGTGTGGTGTAATTGAATAGTAGAGTAGTAGAGCATGGTGTGAGAGCCGGTATATCCGATGGCAATGTAGAACATGATAATGGATCACCATAACATTCATATGTTAAATCAGAATATTGAATATATAAACATGAATATTGTGAAAAATTTGTATAAACAGCATAAAATATTTTTTGTGTATTTATATTATTTATGACGTTTCGATCACTTATCGATAAACCACCAATAGCTGTCATAACTTGAATATATTGCGATACTGAAGATGAGTAAGAAGGATTGGCAACTTTAACTCTTACATTGTATGTATCATCCTATAGACAAATGAGAATTTATTATGATAATAGCTTGAAATTATACAAAAAATACTCACCGTTACGTTCATATTACTTTCTAAATCAAAAACAATTCGATATAATGAAGATCCTGAAGTAATACCAACAGTAGTAAACATATTTGTAACTTGACTGACAGAATAGATAATTGTATAGACGTATGACGATGAATTAGTTAATGTTAATGTAAATGTTTCTGGTATACCAGCTAAAAGAGACAGAGAGAGAGAGAGAGAGAAAGAAAAAAGGCTACAATTTTTAGACAATGTATAAATAAGATAGTCACAATCATACAAACATTGGAAATAATTACTTGAATTTGACCATGATGCATAAATAACCAATTGACTTTGTTTTGGTACAACGGATACAGAACCTCGTTTGACAAGAGTACATATATCTTCAAGTGGACTGGTCTCTGTTGGTAATAGATAGCAAACTATTATTCCAAGATTAGTAAATGGAGCATTGATAGAAACCTACAGAATATTTAGTTGTTATTCAAGTAGTTATGAAAAAAAAATGTTAACCTTTGTTAGCTGTGTTACACTCGAAACTCTATTGTACGCGGTAAAATTTACATAATATATTCCAAATGAATTATAGGTATACGAAGCAGTATATGGAAGACTCGCATTTACAATTGCTGAGTTTGTAGTATCATTAAAGTCAATTATTATAAATGCTGTTGATGCTCCTGGTGTACTTGTGTCTTGTACGGAAAAATTAAGTGTTGCAGGACCTCAATAATAATAAAAAAATATTTTTTATTTGAAATTTTTGAATTAAATATCCTCGTCACTTACTTTGAGTGTAAATAATTTGAGATGGTAATGTACCGCTACCAGTTACATTAACTGTAAAATTTTTAACTGCATACTGAACATAAACTTGAAAATTATTTGTAACACTGCTTACACTGTTAATTGCTGTTATTGTCATTATATAGAAGCCAACAGCAGTATAAAAATGTATTTCAGTATCAGCTTGATAAAACTGAGTGGCTAAAAGAAACAAACAATAATAAATTTTTGGATTAAAAACTAGTTTTGTCTTGATGAATATATTTGTTTATTATACCTGTCCTATTTCGTGTTATTGAAGGTGAACCATCACCAAAATTCCATGATAGCGTAACAGATCCCGGGCTTATATCACCAATGTAAACAGATGCTTTAAATGATGTAATGGAATTTAATGGCCAATTAATCGGTATTATAGAATAATAAACATCTTGTAAAACGGATACAACTTGAACGGTACAATTTATAACAACAGAATCATAATTATTTTTAACATTGAATAATGCTGTATAATTGCCTAATTGTGAATATAAAATCGTTAAACCACTTACACTACGTGCTGGGGATGAATCATAATCCATGGTTAGTGAATATGGACCTTGCGTTTGATTTGGTTGTGTTGAATCTGGTGTGATAATGACATAAGCATTGGATGCTGGTTTTGATGTTAAATCTTGGCTTTGAATAACAAAATTGGCCAAAGCTAAATTATTTACATATGCTGCTATACATGAACTAGCAACAACAGATCCGATACTAGTGACAACTTGAATGGGATTAACAGATGTTGTAACCACAATTGTGGTATATCGATAAATTGTATTCAATGGATTGGAAAACTTTGTTATCACAGTGATATTGCCTGGTTTTAGAAAGATATGAGAACTTGGAGTACACTGATTTAATGGTCTACCAGTCGGATAATCTCCAGCATAGTAGCATGTTGTGCTTGTTGAGATATCGTCTGACTTCACATCACCATAATAAAAAGTAATATCAACATTGCTACCCGAATCCATTGTATATGTGAAATTAACTGGACCAGGAAACATAGTGCTATAATTGGATGCATACACTTGAGGATTTTGAATTAGTGTTTCGATGGAAAATACATCACTGTATGTTACATTCGATATATAATTATAGGCATTTATTATGATTGAATAATTTCCTGCTGATTGCCCAGAAAGTTGTTGTGTTTGAACAAGACCATTTGAGGGATAGTATGTGTAAGTCAATTGATTTCCATTCAAAACAATAGTAAATGTTGGATTCGTTCCTTGAGATATCGTGATATTTATCACGTAATTTACGTTTTTTATTACACCACGTTGTATTAATTGTAGATTTTGAATAGGTAATTGAACATAATGTATGAGACTAAACGTTTGTGAATTGATATTATTCACACAATAAACTGATATATTGTATGTTCCCTCTTGTAGATATTGATAGGTAACAATTGAGCCAGGTACATAGCCCAATACGTACTGATAGGTGAAAATGGCCGATTGTGATGTTTGATCATAATTAATTTGACATACATAATTTGAACCAGATGTCATTGATAATATAAAACTGACCTGTTGTAATGGGAGAGATGTTGATACTGATATATTAATGGGACTTAATTTTAAATTGGTTATCGTGTCTTCGATGAGTATTTGGCTGGTATTACACCGAAGTGACACGAGATTTTGTGCACAACACATGATTGTATATGTACCCATAGTGGTAAATGAATAATTGATTGTATTGTTCGATGTTGAGATGTTCTGGTTATTAATCGACCATGTGTACGTTGGAGGTGAGGCATCTTTAAGCGTAGAAAAAAATGCTGTAAGTTACTTATGATGGCTATATTGTAAGCGAAACTGGAATTTAGTTCAGATAATTCCAGATTCGTCTAGACAGACGTTTCAGACTTAGACAGAATCCAAGGGATGTATGTACATGTATCTCAGTTTTGTCTAGGCAAACCCAGAATTTGCCTACATTCCAGTTTCGCCTACAGCAACCATATATCATAAAACGTAGGAATACATACTTTGAGGCAGATAGGTGGCCGTAAATGTTTGGACTGTATTGATACTCCCAGATAATGAGCCATTAACAATTATTGATTGTATTGCAATCACTACTGGCAAAATGGCTGTTTGATTAAATACTAAGCTATTTTGTGATAAACTAGCCTGTACCATATAATTTCCCGCTGATGTGTAGAGATTTATCGGTGCAATAATTGTTGCCTGAACAACAAATGCTTGTAACAAAAACCGATAAGTAGTGTTTACGTTTGTGTAGTTGGGTAAACAAGTAAATTGTTGACTTGGTATAGTCCACGTTGGTACACATCTATAATCTTGAGTATTATCGCTTTGAATTTGTTTACCAATGAGAGGTGTTGATGCAGAAGCTAAGAAACCAAATATGTCTCCGACTAACACTGTTTTATTCATTGTAGTTGTCGCGTTTAATAAATATTGATTTGAACCATTAACACTTGGAATAGTTAGAGTTAAGACTACATTGTATGAAATGCTATATTTTGATAGTTGTGTTCGTTGTTGACTCGTTTGACAGCCACTTGAACAAGACTGGCTCGTTGAGGAATACGTACCATTACTACATTGAAACAACATGGGTTCTGAACAACTGCCACATGTATTGAAATCATAACAATAAGATGGACTCGCACCACAATTAGGCCGCAATAGCTTCAATTAGAAACCTTGGCGTAGATTAATATGTATACCGTAACTATTAAACAGAAAACTTACATAAATTGTCACAGATCCAGATGAAATAGCATAGAATCGAATAGATATCAATCGCCCGGCTGTTGTCACTGTACTCTGTGGAAGAATGATTATGTCAGTTGTTGCAATTCCTGTAAGAACCGTTGAGTCCAGTGGCGGATATTGTGAAACAGATAAACCGTACGAGAAATATTGTGTATCTAAAACCAATTAAAATGCACTATATAAAAAAAAACCGTAGCTTACAAAACGAATATCACTTTTGACATTTGCTCCTAATAGAAATCGATATCCGTATCGTACAGTCCTGATTAACCGGTTTGCAGAATACGCTTGAACGTTTTTTCTCTGGTACAAAACCTTATCCCATTTCTTTACAAGGCAAAAAACGTTCAAGCCTATTCTGCGAAACGGTTAATCAAGATTGTACGATATGAATATCGATTTCTATTAGGAGCAAATGCCAAAATCGATATTTGTTTTATAAGCTACGGATTTTTTTAGAGAACACGCCAGATCTAAAAAGATGTTTATTTCAGCTTACCTGGTACATTTACAATAGTTCGTGAGACACTCGTATTATTATAATTGAACATAGCTGTCATTCCAGTTCCTCTATCAGTTGTTAATTGACAATAAACATTTTGATCAGTTCCTGTGACATTCGGACACGTAAACGATATATCCATTTGTGTTACTTGATCAGCAACAATCACTGATATTGTACTTTGAACAGTCTTAGAAATTTAGAATAGTATCAGATACTTTAGAAAAAGTGTTGTATAAAACATGTCTTACTGGCGTATTGGCTAATGATCGAGCAAAAACGGTAACTAGAAACTGACCAGCCATTAAATAAGTATGATAAAATGATTTTGTTCCATTAACGTTCCCCGGAATCCAATCGGTTGTACTACCATCGCCAAACATCACTTGATAATTGATATTACTAACTATTCCTCTATATGAAACATCAAATTGGCACGGCTGATTTATTTGTAAATTTCCCGTACTTCCATTAAGTTGAATTTTTGTAGACTAAAATATTTGGTTAAAACATCTTACAGTTATCAACTAGAAAAATTACTTACGTCTATGTAGCCAGCCACAGTATAAACAAGTTCATAATCATATCCTCCACAAAATGCCGAATTATCACCGGAACATGGTACTGTACTGCATAACGTTTGATTTGAAGTTATATTATTTGAATTTGAGTTTCCACAAAAACAAAATCGTCCTGATGAAACAGCTGAATATGAATAACCAACAGATGAACAGGCTTGCATGCAAACAGATGGTGTCAAATTATTTGGATCATAATTGCCGGGATTATTGCCAATGGCACGAAATGGACGATTAATTATAGCACAACCAATTAAATTTGCTAGAATTAGATCGATTTTTGAATTAAAATATCTAAAAATTTTAGTAGCATTCGTTATTTCATACTTCGTAAAATTGATTGTGTTGTAATTGTGCTGGTCCACGACATCTGAATAATGAAAAACATATTTATGATAAGAATCAATCAGTGATTAAAGCATCCCTTAGTCTTAACCTACCAGACAAATACACAAGATTGCCCATGTCACCTTCATGACTAAATCTTGTTGATTTGTTTCTAAATATTAAATATTGAAGCAGACCTTATATCCAACTTTTTTTTAGTATTAATATTATTTACTTTGTAATCAATAATACTGATTGTTCTTTTTAGTTCATATGTTATAAAATGATGAGAAGTTTGAGTATTCACTTTAAAAACAACTATCTCAATCTAGAGTGAAATGAGCGTGCCACATAACCTAAGTAATTACTTTAATAGGTTGCATATTTTTATTTTAAATTCAATCTCCGGTTGTATTCTTCTAGAAGAAGTGTAAATATTATAAAAAGAAATAATTTTTCAAAGAGAGATAGACACAACCTTTCTCTGTTCGAGTGTAATGATTTGAACATTATTAGATATATGAATTTGATAAGTTCTTTTCCACTTTTCAGAATAAGGGAAAGTAATGTCACTTAAGAAAAAAATACGTTTTTCTATTTTTTTTCTCAACAAATAAAAGACGAGAGGTAAAGTATCAATTTATCAAAATTGTCGGACTTTTGTTTTTTTTCATTAATGAAAGAAAAAACCGACGTCTCACACTTTTGAACAGACAATTATGATTGAAGTTTTTAAAAAATAATATGGGAAAATCAGCAGTGGAAAATGTGCTTCCAGATTTGTTGAAAAATTGAGAAAAAAAGTGTTTGTCTTCCTGATTTCTTCAATTTCAAAAAAAAAGCTAGAGTAAAGAGTAGGGCGGATAGGACCCTTTTCTGGCCCAAAAACTTTTTGGGTTTTTTTCACCTGAATCATATCAGGAGATGCCTTTCATACCGATTATACCAGGAGATGATTTTTATGTTTTCTTCTAAAACAACCACTTCTGCAAGATTTATCCTGGGCGATAACCGATGTTTTCATTCATTTTTCCTGATTATCATACCCAAAGGAATCTCGTTCCTGAACTCACAAGAAATCAGATGTCAAGGCTAAACCACAAAAAATTAACATTTTGAAAAGGACACTTTGGACTATCTATTCATGAAAGGAAGTAAAAATATTTATTTGAGAATTTTTGGTATATCAACTTGATTTTCCAAAAATCTCATAAAAAGCCAACTTTTGCTAAGGATTTTGAAAAGTTTGTGTCCATAGAACTATGTGCTCCAGCCGTAACAATCGAATGACAGAACTGGATATATTTCTTCTTCTTTCAAAAGTTATTCAAAAAGTAGTAGTTTTTAATTTGAAATGGATAGTACTTTGATGTGACAACTACCATTGTATTGGAAACTTTGCCACTCCATCACTTCGAGTAGCAGTATGCATCACTTTTCTTTCTAAAGCTGAATGCTCTCTGTTCTATTTTTTCCATAGGATGCTGAATAAGTATGTACTGAATTTAGAATAAGCACAATTCATGGCTAAAACTTCATGTTTGCGTAGTATTTTATTTGTTGCAAACAAAGGATGAAGGCGGTAAGGTAAGTTTTCTGCGAAGGCGTTCACCATCTTAAAAACATTGAATTTTCGTAGAGAGAAATACTTTTTACTATATTTATTGTTCATCTATATGTAAAAATGAACGTTCCTTCAGGACGCATCCTCAAAAATGTTGCAACTAAAACGAAAGTTGTCGAAAAATTCCAAATATCATCATTAAAATCAGTTAAAATCCAGTATTTCTTCGTGCAAATGCAATTTTTTAAAGTTTGAAGATAATACTCGTATCAAAACTGGTGATTAGCATAAAATTCTCCAACTATTCCACGTTTTATTTCACAAATGCATGCGGAAAACTTACCTTATCCCCTCTTCGCCTTTAACATAATACATATCATACATCGTTAAGTTATTCAAATGGACAAGCTCTTTTTCACAAAATCTATCAATTTTTCTTATTGAATTACAAATATCACATACATGAGAAAGAGTCCACTGTGGATTCCTCATCATGAACATTTAGGCAAACATTTGGTTAAAAATCAAAAGTGAATTTTTTCCAGATTTAATTAGTAATAAATATATATTGATACTTAGAAAATGTATTGCATAACAATTTTGTGTTGCACTTGTCAAAAATCATGGGAAACTATTTGACTCAAACATTAATCTGAAACGCAATGATATACGTTCAAGATTTTTTTAACTTTATCCAAGGAACCAAGGAAATTATAAATAAAAATAATACAGACGTTGAATACGACTGGCTATATAATGACACAAAAAATTTTTGTTCTGGACTTCACCTCATGAACAAATAAAAGTATTTTTTAATCTAACTAATTTTTCAAACGGACGTGTTCAGTATAATGAGTGCATTTCCCTTAGCGTACCTTCAATCTAGCTCAAACTTTGGCAAAATGCTCTTCTATGTGAATGACATTTATAGTATTAACACTAAATAGCGCAACTTTCCCGAACTTTAATGAAGGACTTCTGAACAATTTGGTTTTCTGAAATAAAATTTCTTTTACTCAAGCCAAAAATCATTTTAATTTTAGAAACAAAAGCAAGATGATATTTGTAATCAGCGTAAAAAATTACATCGAACGATGTAGTCAAATACTTTCTGACATATTTTTTCTTGACAAAAGTTTTCACATGGAATTCCCGTTAGACATTTGTAATCAAAAACCAAAAGTTTATAGACTGAGTTTGTTTTCTTGTAAGAATACAATTTCTTCAGATATGCAAAACCATTTTAAACTAAAAACGATCATTTTGGATCATAAACGTTGAGATTAAAATGATTAGTTATTCACGAGTTACAGGACATTCAAAATGGGATCAAAATTTCAGAAGTGATGACGACTACAAACATTAAGTCTGTTTCAAATTAAACTAGACAAGAAACATAAAAGTTTCTTTTTGTCAAGCGCTTGAAATTTATATTCCAGAAAATTGACTGTTTTGCCTGCAGAAACGAGCACTTTCATTAAAACTTTTATTCATGTTAAAATCCAGTTATAGTTTAAGACTATAAAAAGGCAAGATTTCTGGTTCATAAAACAATACTTTTTAACTCTTCTAAGTGGACTCGAACCATTAGATATTGCTTCGTAAATCTATGTAAGACCACAAAACGCTGAAATAATTTTTGGTTACCATAGGTTTTTAGAGAACTGCGGGACATCTCAAGGATAAGAAAATAAAGATTTTTTATTTTTCGGTTCCTATCAGCAGATAAATTAGCCAGAGTAGAGTAGTTTTTGAAGGCTTTGAGTGATTTGATGGAATGAACATTGCAGAACATATATGGGCCATTTGAATCAAAACGGGACATAACTATCTTTTATTTATCTTTGATTCTTCACAAGGGTTGTTTTTTTTTCAACAAGTTCTTTTACCATGAATACATGTAAAAATGTTACTTCTTTAAGCTTACATAAAATTAAAATTTATTAGCTAATTAGTTAACTAGTGGAAGCGTAATTAGTGAATAAACTCCTAATCTTATGACAGAAAAATTCAAGGATTTCAAGACAGACTCCCTACTCCGAACCACAGCTATGGTGAAATTTTCAGCAAGATCAGACACCAAAAAGTGCCTCTTAAAAAATTGGTTTTCCAGAGATCCTTTCATGTCCTGAAAGAAAATTTTTTGTTGTACCATCATCTTAAGATTTCCGCAAGATGGATTTACATTATTTAAATTGCCTCTGCACTTATAGTTCAGTTAAAAGGGCATTTTTCGTGTTTTTATTCCCACTCTGCATGAAGAAAACACTTTATTGCAAAATCATATTCGTGATCAGCGTCGAAAACCGGATCAAGTGATATATTTTGCGGATAAGGAAAGCGGAAAAGTAAAAAACTTTCCTTTCCTAAAACAAAGAAAAGTCAATTTTTACTTTCCTTTTCCTGGGAAAGAAAGAGAAAGTGCCACCCCTAACTTTATTACGTCCGTAGCGGTCGTGTCACGTCCGCAACGAAGAAAATAATGAAGTCTCCAGCAAAATCTAAGCAGTTTTAAAAAAAACTCTGGCTACTGATTCTGTAACCTGAACTATCTTCTACAAAATGCACGGTTTGAATTTAAAAACTGATAAAGGAATCAGCAGATTTTCAGAAGCGAATCACATGCACCGGAAAATTTTGTCTTTTTTTGTTCGTAACGGCTTAGTTTTTCATATGAAAAATAGCCAAAACTTAGAACTTTCCACTTTTTACAGTATATTCAGTAGCTAGGTACCGATATGTGATGGCAACAGGGACTTTAGTGCTGTTTTAGTTAAAGGTCTATAGCGGCACAAAGGTGTACGAACATCGCGTTCGTGACGCTGGAGTTGCCCATATACATTTATTATCTCTGCTCATAGTTAAAGTCAGAATATTTTTTTCAAAACTCGTTATATCACTTTTTTCTGCAAAACAAGTATTGTAGAGAGATTTAGAATTATAGAAAATTTATTTTTTCATTTATATTTAAGATTATTAAAGACTCATTCTTTCGAAAATGTACTCGAGTTTATATTAACTTTATTGGAATTGTTAAATATTAACAGAACTAGTACAATACGAGCTCCCGATGCCGAATATCATGTTTAAAAAATTTTAAAACAATGAATCGATGACCGTTCGTGTCTAATGATATTATTTTTCAGTAAAATGGATATATTTTTAACGAAACACTTTTGTGAGCTGGAATGGCCAGTTTAGAATCTACATATGTAAGGCTAACGAAAGAAAAATTCCAAAACGTTAAGGCGAGTCTTAGGAAAATTTTCAAAAAAAAAATCGTTTTTCTCGAAAGTAAACCATATCTTCCTCACGAAAAACAAGACATACATTCGACGTGTCTTTTTCAAGTTCTATCCGATGAAGTGTTTCTCATTGAGATTTAAAAACGTTTAGTCATAGAAAACAGATAACTTAAAAAACTTTAAAGGTTCTTCGTTTTTCAAAGTTTAAGCTCGTGCAACGCTATTTCGCTCTATAATCGTATGGAAAGTAGTCAGATTAAACTTAACTTGTTCAATTAGAAATTTTAAATAATTCTGCCAGTCTGTTTTTAATAAAAGTAAACATTGTTACTCTTTGACTTTTTTTTCCAGTAAACTCAGGCCGAACTTTCATACTATTTTGTTTGATATTTTGTAACTTTTTCTAATTTCATTACATTCAATTCACACACTTAAATACACTGTTATGATACATAAAAAGTAAAGCACGTATGTATTACTTTAAACTTAGTAAAATATTTGTACACAGAATAGCAAAAACGACTATTATTAAGCTGGTTTAACGAAGTTCACATTAAAAACGAAAACTATCTGACTTTTATGTATAATATATAGATTGAAGAATGGATAAAATAATCCATAACCACAAGATGATCAAAAAGAAAATAGAGAAATCAAACCGTTCATAACTTATAGGCATTACAATATTGCACTTTTTGAGAAAGATGTTACACAGAAATAATCAGAAAGAAATTAACTGCTTTTGCTTACAAAACAAAATTACAGGACAGAGAAATAATATCTGAATATAGCACAAAATACAGACACGATAAAAACTCCAAAAAAAAAAGAAAATCCTGTATATTTTTTACAAACTATTCGTTGAGAAGAATAATATTCATATTGTGAATAAATATCTGAGTGTGCTTACAAAATAGTAGCATTATTTTAAGATTTTTCAATATAAATATAATATCGGTTCAACTAGTCAACTTAAAAAAGAAATCGACACTAATGATCCATAGAATTTACATAAAATATACAATCATAGTTTTTCAAAACAAAGTCAGATTTAGTCTAAGTTTTGTGTATAATAACGATCAATAATACTTGCATTATCATTAACACGACGTTGTCGCAATCGATCCCAGAGTGGTAATGGAATGAATTCATTTTGTTCATCATCACTCTCTTCTACTTTTACAATAATACTTATATCTTGTGATGCTGGTACAATTTTGATTATTTCACATTCATCATCATCGAATAAATCATATTGATTCGATTTAAGTATATTTAACATATCTAAAGACATTGATGTTGACATATATGCATTTGTTTGTCGACCATTAATATTGTTTAATTCCGATTTTGGATGTCGATGAATGATTTTTTTTCGTATTATTGGTTTTTCCTTTGATTTATGTTTACCATCCGTACTTGTTCTCATTATATTTAACATATCAAAGGAAATTGATGTTGATAATGCAGCTGTTGTTGGTCGATTTCGATATTGTATTGATTTAGGATTATGTTCAATTGTTCTCATTTTTGTTAATTGTGGTAATTTCTTTGTTAATGGTTTCATTTTCTCTTGATCATCATACATTATATTTAACATTTCTAATGACATTGATGTTGACATTATAGCTGATGATGAACGATTTTTATATTGTTCAGACTTTGGATAACGTTGTATTATTTTCTTTGATGATAATTTTTTTATAGGAGTTTCTTTTACTGAATTTTCAATTATTGAATCGTTTTTTATTGTAGTTTGTTTTTTATTTGATTTCTTTTTTTTCTGTTTTTGTTTCTCATTAAATTGTTTTACAATATTTTCATAGGCTAAACGAAATAATTCACATGGTTCAATAGTTATTAATTTTTCATTATCCTCTTCCTCTTCATCATTATCTGTTGACATATTCAATGTGGCAATTTGTTGTTCAAGTGTTTGTTCTTGTCGCCATTCAATTTCATAGTGTTCAATACGTTGACGTACACGAATTTTTCTTATACATAATGGTTGTATATAATTTAAATGTTTTCGATCATTATCATCATCTAACATAATCATATTTAATTTATATAACATTTGAAATCTTGTTATTAATGGAAGAACTTTTGAGTATGTGTATGTTTCTGGCCAATCTAATTTTTTTTTCATATATTCTTCTAATTGTTTTAATTGTACAGGTCTTAACCATTTTATATTTGCTATTGATGATATCATATTAACATTTTCAATTGGTGATGTATATTCATCAATAATTAATTGATATTGTTGTTTATTAGATGATTGAAGACATGATAATATTCGTTGTTCATATTTATTTTTAACTTTAACTGTTTGATTATCTGTTACCATTTGCATTAAATAATCAACTGGATCACATTGTTTTGGTAATAATTTTAAATATTTTAATGCTATTTCACGTCCAACACCAATGACACCTTGACTATCATAATCACATCCAAGTAAAAGAGCTAATGTTAAAAATGAACGATGATTTAATTCACATGTTTGAATTATCTCATCAATATCATACATTTCAAATGAGGTAGACTAAAAATAGATTTAAAAACAATTCATAAATAATCAAATATTTTAGATTTTATAAAAATAAAACAAAAATATAATGAGTAATTCTTCTTTAGTGTGATTAACTGATCTGTAGTCTGACGAATAAACTTTAAAATTTCATAAGAATAAAAAAATAAATAAAATAATTTTCGAAATACAGACATTATGATACATAAAATATTTATTTTTTATATTAATAAATACATACTTTCACATCGATACTAAAATTTCGAATAATTCTGTTTGCACCATATACAAAACAATCACTATCATTTGTAATAACAGCATCAACAATCTCAAAAAAACAAAAATATCAAAAGATAAAGAAAATAATTAAAAACATAAAATATTATTATAACTTACATTCATTCGATTTAATTGTGCACATAATTTTTCTGCTTCACCGTCTGCACGAATAATTGGAATACCAAGATAATTCAACAATTGACAACACTTGAACAACAATAGACGTTTTATTTTGTTTTTTATTATTATTATTTTATTAAGATTAAAATAGAAATATAAACTTACTTCGTTAACAAAAATATTAAAATGAGATCGTGTATCACTTTTTGATGTTATTAATGTATCAGATTGTTGAGTTATTTTTTTATTATGTCGAAAATTAATTCGTTTTATTACTGTATTTAATTTTAAACCTGTTATTTTTGTTGAATCAAGAACAAATATTGGTTTAATATTAAAATAAATCATATTTAAAACTCGAAAAAATAATATTCTAAAAATTAAAAACAAAAAAATTTATATTCTATTTAAAATATATTTATGTTGTCTAATCATGTACCGTAAATGCATTGAATTTTTTTGAAATGGTGTTGTTTTTGATACAATTGAACGACATTCACATATCCATATACTCAAATCAACAGCTACTGTTTTTCCATTTAAATCATCATTATTTCCTTGTTTACATGCCGGCTCAAGAATAGACCAAAAATTATTTACACCCATCTGAAAAAGAGAAATTGATTAACAAATCGAACATGAAAGATTCAAATAAGTATGCAACAGATATTTTTGTATCACTCAAAAATTCTATTAATGCCAATTAAGAAAACAATTATTTGATATGTCAAGTAAATAAATGTTTTTTTTATATTACATATACAGAAGAATAGAAAACTTGTCAAAATTGGCGGAGGATTTATGAAGGATAAAAAGACTCGTTCGTATCGAGAAGAGATATTGTAGAATTCACTCTCATACTACCTCTCTCTCTCCGCACACACTTCTTATAAGAAAGACTAATTTGTAGATAGATGCGCGCCAGTAAGACGAAGAAATCTAAAAATTTTCCTTGAGGTTTATAGCAAGTAGTTTTATCCATTTTCTCAGACTAACCGAACATAAATGTAAATAGTTTTTATCTTCTTCTTTTCTTTCATATCCATTTCGTAAAACTGAGCCTGCAAATTTATCTTCATCAGAAATTAGTCGAAAAAGTTTTTTTTTTTTTTCTTCATTAGATAGTCTTCTTCTCTAATAAGATTCATACCTATATTTCACTATTATCAAAAAATATTGTTCGTTCGCATAGATTAACACCTTTTTCCGACAAATATTTTCTTATATAAAGGCACGGTATTTCATCATTTCTTCACCGTTTCCAGTTAGCTTCACTTCGTTCTGTTCACTTCAAGACTTTGAAAAAGAATTCGAAAGCGCTTAGTCTTTTCTCTTCACTACTTTTGTCACTGTACAGTTTCTCTTTAAAAATAAATATCAGAATTTTAAACAACATTAAACTACTTTTCTAGGTGTTACTAGTTGGGATTAGTGCCAGAAACGGGACATTATCTCTTCATAGACCCTCGGCCAATTTTGACAAGTTTTCTATTCTTCTATATATGTAATCTAAAACAACACTCACTTACTTGACATACCAAATAATTGTTTTCTTAATTAGCACTACTTCTAATGATAGAGTCGTTGTTGAAATTTCTTGTATATGATATATAATCAAATATCCGATACTTATCTTGAATACTATGCAAAAAAACATTCTTTGATATCAAGCAACGGCTACCTCATACACAAAGATTACTCTTGACCATTGTCCGATGTTCATAGATGAAGTAGATGATAAAATAAAATATTAATGCATATTTTATACTGGAAAACCTTTCTAAATGACAAAACTTTCAAACTTTTTATTTTAATTTTGAGATATTTACATACAAACAAAAGAATAACACATAATAACAATAAAAATAGGTATGTTTAATTTAATATTTACGCTCGTTGAGCTGTCTTTGTGCGATTGTATACGAAAATAAAAACAAAAAAAATAAACTAGAACAATAAATTGGAAAATAAACATAACCGGATTTTTATATAGAGATATTCAAAAATAACAATCTTATTTAAATTGCTCGTTAAAGATTACAGTTAAAAAGAGAGAAAATAGCGGAAGAACAAAAAACTTTTATCTGGGGTCTATATCCTGAGAATATGTCTATATTTATATTTATACGCTTTATTAACTCACTTTTTTCCGTAAATAATCTTTAAATTTAATTGGTAATAATGATAGTACGGCAAATACTCCCAGTACAACTATAGAACGCCAAGACAATACATCGGATGCACTCGTTAATTGATGAAGCGTTTTGCCAGCTTGAATAAATAAAATAGAGGGTAATGCAACACCTAAAATAAAATAAAATTTCAAATTTTTTTTTTTTTATCGGTTCACTCATGTTTTATATTTGATATTTACCGGCAAATGTACCAGCAAAAAATTTTCCTAACGGAAAGTTCAATATTGGACTAGAAACATTCACAAACCAATTGGGTAATAAGGGTGTTATACGAAGAAAAATCATAAACCATAAAAGACTATCAGAATGCTGTTGAACCTGGAGGTAAACAAAATACATAAAAAATATACTTGAATAAAATAATAACATCATTAAAATAAAAACGAACCTTTTTTTGCCAATCAGAAATTCTTGCTCGAAAATATTTCCAAATAATTCGTCGACCAAATATATGTGATAATAAATAACAAAAACTTGCACCCACTGATGAACACTGTAGAGAAAATAGTTCAAATTTTAAAAAAAAACAAAAACAGAAAAAATCATCCACATTCATTTACCAAACAGACGAGAAACAAGGCTAAAGGAAATGGATATAAAAATCCAGCGAGGATACTTAAGAAGATTGATCCAGGAATAGCAAATGTTTGCAAACTAGAATAAAAAGAAATGAATTATTCAATCAAATAATGTCATTTTTTTAGGAACAAATGAAATTTACAATATATAACTGGTGAAAAAGGCTAACATGACAATATAATAATGATGTTTGCTATATTTATATAATACATCGCCAAGAACTTTTGCATCATCAATTGTCTTCGGTATTCGAAATGCATCACGTTCAGATCTAAATAAAAAATAAATGTATAAAAGAAAATTGATGTATAAAGAATGAATTATACAAAAAAAAAAGTACAGACTCTTCAATTTTTGGAAATAATATGTAAATAATACAAAGTATAAAAAGAGCAATAATAAATATAAGTCCAAGTAATAGTAAATGTTGACGATCGTTATTTTCACTCAAATGACTTTTAGAAGATTGACTAGTTTGAATTGATTGTGTAAGTGAAACTGGATTATTAAGATTAATTGGTTGATCACTGGATTCATCTTCTAACAACAATACTTGATCATCAGCTAAAAAACAAATATGCTGAATGCAAGATAAATTCGAAAAGTGTTTATATTTTTAAAAAAAAAGAGAGAAACTATCATGTCCTAAGATTTCAATACTATCTCCTATCTATACTGTTCTTGTCTCTGACTTTTATAAATTTAAGCATTTAAAAATCAATATTAATGCAACAAAATGTTGCCTGTCACATCACATATGAATCGGTTTAGTGAATTTTCTTAAAAATAGATGTTTCTTTATTACCAATAGGAATATTAACTGCATAATGAATCATTTAAATATAAACACAGCAAATCATTAAATTTTATGAGCTAGTTTCCGTATTGTTATTTATTTTTTACGTTTTTCTACATAAATACATATGAAAATCTTTTTTCTTCTTTATTCTACAACGTTAAACGTACTTTTTCTCTTAACAGTACTTTTATTTAAATTCACAGCATACATTATTTTAATACAATCCTTCCTTTTTCCTTTCGTTTCTGTGCTGTTGACATGACAGAATACATGCGTATGTTATTCATTCTTTTCAATACAATGTGTATAAAAAAAGAGAAAAGCTTAAAATATGTCTCTTGTTCTACGGTTCATAAACTTTTCAAATCTATTCTTAAAGACATGGCAGCGTTTTTAGTATTACTATTATTTATTTAATTCTATAAAAGAATACGAGCGACGGGAGAAACAAAGCTCTTTCGATTTTTGTAAGAGAATCGTTGAGATAAATGTCGCTAAAAAATTCTTGTTCTTCTTAGACGCTACAACTTTAAGAATAATAAAGGTCCTCTTCGATGAACATCTGCTGTTTAGATTTAGAAATTTTCTAAAATAATGTGCTTATTTATCCAGAACAGATTGTTACTAGAGAGTGTGAAAGAAAGAACGATTACAAAAATCTTGTCAGAGTAGTCCTCAACAGGGCTAAAATGTGAAACTTCTCGTATTTTATGCTGAAATGATATTTGAAAGAAGTTCTAACATTGTTTTCGTTCTATTTGATTAATTTTCAAACACACGCCCCGAGTAGGTACGTAATTATTAATGAACGAAAAAAAAACGCTATGATAACACCTCAAGAGCCCTTAAGATCATTACTAGATGGAGGGAGGAGGGTACAGAATCAACAAAATCGTTAAGGTTGTGACTATAATTACTTCAACTCCTCTGCTTTGCAATCTTAGGAGGATTTTCAGAAAATGTTTAGTTCGCTGTTTCATTCTCATGTCTCGTTTTAAGACAACACCTATTACCCTATTATACACAAAAAATATTGTAGATAAAAATCAAAAAGTTACTTTTATCCAGATGGGTTGATCGTCCCCGAATTTTACGATAGTTTCTTTGCGACTGATTACTGGTCATTGTTGTTTCTTATAAACATATCATCTAAAAAGAAACTTTTTCAAACAAAAGCGAAATCCGACGAATCACACTATAGTAAAAAGAATATATATATGTGGGATTAAGAGATCTTTCGAAAAACTTTGGAAGAGGGAAATTTCCATAACAGATCAGACACTATGTGATATCAAATTTCTCTATTAACCATGAATTCTGATCATTTTGAACTTTTGAAATGAGGCAAAAAAATGAAATTCTTTCACATGGTAATCAAAATATCTGAATTGTCTAGTCTACTTGTATCTATCTATAAACAAAACATCACATATGAAATTCAAGCTCTAATAATTGTCAGAAATAGATAAGAGTGCATTTTATTATTAGTTTATTTTATAGGTGTTTGGCCAAAATAAAATAGGATTAATATAATATGTGCATAAAAAAACAAAATATATTCGAAAATAACGAAATAAATAGTTCATTTGCTCAACAAAAGTTGATCATCTCCATTAGATTAGAGTACATGTTTTTGATGTACGCTGCTGCTTTTGTGATAATACTGGATTAATGGCATTTAGTTGTTCCTTTGCAATAGCTTTTTTATCGTCATCTAACGATGCTGTCGCAGTTTCACCATTTACTTTTTCACTGAATGCTGTAATTTTTCCGATGTTTGAATTTACTGTAGCTTTAGGAGGATACATTGTGATACCATCGTCGTGGTCATACATTGGTACTTCTAATTCTGATTGACTGAATGTGTTTGCTTTTGTCAACTGTGGTGAACGGGGGAGCGTGAGTGCTTCAGGTGGCCTAGTTTTGGATTGCGGTTTTTGCTTCGGTTCTTCTGCTTCTTGACGTTTCATTTCCTCTAGAACAGCTTGAAATGGATGTTGTGTACTATTGCCTGAACGATCTTTTTTATTTAGTATAAAATACGTTGTCGCTTGTGTGTAACCATTCAACGTCATTTTACCACGTTCATGAACCTCATAGCATTTACGATCGAGTAATTTGTACATCGCATCTGTTATGTGTATATGTAACGCCTAAAAACAAAACACAACTATAAGTATTACGAACTAAATCGTTGTTTAATAATACACAAATTATATAATCCTCTGCCACTTTCTTACTTTGCTTGTTTGTTCCATTTTATTTGCTGTTGTAACAGTATCGCCAAATAAGCAATAACGCGGCATTTTAATTCCAGCTATGCCAGCGACGACGGGTCCAGAATGACATCCTAGAATTAAATAAAAAGAAGCTTAGAAGAACAAATAGACAACTAATAGAATATATATATTCTACCAATGCGAATTTTGAGTTTGTCGTTATTGACAGGATTGAAAACGGTTACAATTGCATCTAACATATCAAATGCCATATCGACTATTTCAGAAGAATGATTTCGCACACGTTCAGGTACACCTGATACTAACATGTACGCATCACCAATAGTCTCAACCTAAGACAAAACAAAAACAATTTTTCAATCATACTATAAAAGTTTCTATTTATATACCTTGTAACAATTATGTGTTTCAAGACATTTGTCAAATTTTGTATACATTTCATTTAAAATTGACACAACTTCCATGGGTGTTAATGAACTACAGATTGCTGTAAATCCAACCACATCACTAAATAGTATTGTGCAACTATCAAATGTCTAATAATGAAGTAGAGCATATGAGTTAAGAAATAAAGAAATGAGTAAAATATTTACTTCGCAAAGATTTGTAGCTTTTTCACCGCTTCGCAAGCGATCTGCAATTTTTTTTGGAATCATTTGATATAATAATAAATCGGTCTTTTTCATTTCAATGTCAAGCTTTTTCATACTATCTTCTAATGCTTTACTTTTTTGTTGTTCCTGGAGAGAAATAAACGTTATCATTAAAATTATATGTAAAAACATAGTCTTAAAAAACAAATCTACTTGATCAAGTGCCAGTTTCAATTCAGCCGACTGTTGTGTACCCGCAAGCACAAGATCACGACTTGAATCATGCATACTCAAATCATTAATGAATAAACCGGTATTAAACATAACATCCAAATTTTCCAAACTAAACAAAAAGGATTCTAAGTATTTTAACAGATTCAATATAAAAATAGAATAGAGCGTACACAGGCGTGGCTAGATAAATGATGGCTTTCCATTCAGTGACATATAACATTTGACCACGTAAACGTAAATAATCTTCTTGTATATCTCGTTGTGTTGTCATCGTCAACAATAATTCTAAAAAACAATGATAAATATTGAAAATATTTAGATAGAGAGAAACGTAAGCAATTATATTACCAGAATCATTTCTTCCATGAGCATCATTAATTTTTAAATCATTTTCGTTTACTTGTTTTCTCAATGGTTCAATTGTTGAAAATTCAAATACATTATTTGAATGCAAAACAATTTGATCCCAATTGAGGGTAATAATGGGACTTAAGCAGAGAGAAAACGAGAGAAAGTTAAAAAAAAGAGCAGAATTTATAGAATTTACCGAACGAGATTGAATATATCTCGCATTAATTCTCCAACAATATTTGGAAATAACTGCGTTAAACTATCACCAGCACTAATAATTTCCAACGAATCGCTAACAACCATATGAAATGGAAATAATTCAAAAAATATATGACAATCAATAGATAAGTCTAATTCGACAGTATCACTTTCAGCTGTTTGTTTTAAATAAGCAGTATTTTCAAATGCTAATTCAAATACAACATGGGTGACATCAAATTCTTCACGTTCACTAATGACTTCGATTTCAACTTGTGTGTCATAAAAACGACGGCCAACCTAAAAGATAAATGAATGATAATAAAAATATTTTCATGAATTTTCCATTAATAACAAACCTCTTTTATTTGTCCAATTACATAGTAAACAAAACCTCGTCGACGACTACGATAATGCAACGTCAAACCCTTAGGTGTCTCTTTTTCGACATAGAATGATGGTGGTCTCATTCGAGGATACGTATATCTCATGTATTCATGAAGATTATCCAAACCGTTAAGGAAGTCACGCATATTGTGCCCACTAAAAAAAGTAAAGTAATGATGAGATGTTAGTACCAATTAAAATTAATCATAATGTTTTGTTCTTCGATTGTTTTAGAGAAGCACTCATGGGAACTAAACATTGACTACTATTTACTTGAGGAAAAAAGCTAGCATTCAATCATAGGAGTCCGGCTCCCTCGTTTAAAATCTATAACATTAAACTCTGTCCTTTTTTTTTCAGGCAATCTTTTGAACAGTGACGAATCCAGAGGATATGATGTTTTTCGTTCTATCCATATTATATACACGTTGTCAAACAGCTGACCGCACGTAGTACGACGCGTGTATTCATATAGAACGAACGAAAAATATCGCTTAGTCTGGATCCGCCATACTTCTTGAATGTTGTGCTCTAATGAAAGCTAGCATCAAACTTACAGAATTCGGAGAACACGATCATAACCATAACTAGCAATATACGATACAAACTCCAAACCAAATATATTCATAATATCTTTGAGCGGCTCATCTAAATAAACAAAAATTTACCATAGAATTAGAAAAATATATGAAAAAAATACGATCTAATATCAAAAGAATCACAAGGCTGTCAAACAGTTCAAATACCAACCAAAATATCAGATAGAATTTGAATACTTTTCTAAAATTTTCCTCCCATTTCGAGGAGAAATTTATCAAGAGCAAGATATTTGAATGCACAATTACAACATTATTCTTCCATATGTTCAGAAATTTTAATTAGTTTTTGAAAAATAAAAAAACTATCGTTCCCCAAAGTTACTCATCCGTTTTAACTTTTCTGACTTCTAAACTTTCATCCATTTTCTACCCAATATTACTAAATGTTCTCCAGAAATTAAGAATAAAGTTGTCTTTGTAAATACTCATGATTCCCTGCGAATGTGTTAGAAAAAAAGTCGATAAGCTGAATAATAGAACCGTATTAATTAAAATCTGTTGTAAAAAGTGCTTCAGATTTTATTATCTTCCGAAGATCAAAATAATAGTTTAGGAAACGTGATTATCAACCAACTATTTTGATGCGTTCGTCAAAAGTTTTTCACGTAAAAGTAAGAAAATATCGATGAGTCTATATTTTAAATTAGCATCTCAGCTTTATCTCTCTATAATTTATCCGCTTATGAAAAATACTTGATAAAACTATATATTAAATGCATATATATAATCGATATCTGAAGTCAAATTTTCACAATTATAAATTGTATTTGAATTTAACAATAAAATAATCGTGTGTGATCAAAGTGAACTCCCCTCTGATGAGAAATTGGAAATTGTGTCTATTATAAATATCAGACGAGACATAGTGGAACGTGAAATCAAACGGGCTCAGCATATTCGAAAAATATTATCAATGCCATCAAACAACTAAAATGTGGAAATTCTTTCATAACCTCTTGTCCTTCAGATCAATACGTGCTTAATGAAGGCAAACATAACTATAACGACTGATCAAACGCATATAAAGAGGAAATCTGTCGTCAAACTTGAGATCATGAACAAATTTTCTCTTCATTACTAATGTAACAACAATGTTTGATTTCTTTAATCTCTCATCATAATTAAAAATATTTTTATATAAAATACAAACTTTTCATTTCAGATAAAATTTTTGCAATTCGAACAAATAATGTTTCACCATATTGTTGAAATGCCGAAAATGAATTAATATCAAGATGTAAAATAGCTTTAACTTGTTCCCATGTTTCTTGTCCATACTTTGCACGTATAATTTCTATTCCCGACTGTAATAATAAACCGTACATATTTTGTTTTTGTTATTAATAATAAACTATAAGATGTATAAAACTAGTCTTTTAAACATCTTCAAATTTTGTTTTCTGTTCATCATCACATATTTTTTCTATATTTTTTTAATTCTAATAAATTTTTTCATGAACAAATAGAAAAAGGAAAAATAACAAGAAAAGGAAATCTGAGGAAATAAGAAAAGATTCACAACAACGACAACAATAAGTTAACACGGTAATCCAAAAATGGTCAGAGAGAAATTAGTTTTTGAAATAGGATTTTATAACAAACACGAATATAGTAATGAATTTATTATTTACTTATTAATGTCATGATATAGAAAAAAAATCTATTTGAAAGAATTGTTCTCTTCACTAATGAAACATCATCAACATCATTTCTTCTTCAATGAATTTTCATTAAAGTTTAACATGCGATTTTAATATCAAACACAACGAACAAAATCACATTGAACTTTACTAAGATATCTATTAGTATTTCAATTAACCGTATAACTTACATTTAGGATTAAATATCGATGAACAAAAATACAAAAGGATTTTTAGAATCTCGTTCTTAAAAGTAGAAAAAAAAGAAAAAGTGCTTTTTCTACTTAGCGTTCAACTAATATTCAAAAAAATTCCAAAGATTTATTGGAAATGTAATTACATCCAGGTACTAGGCCTAAGAAGATCAGGCTTTCCGGTTGTTCTTAGGGATGGAAGGAGCTAAACATTTTGCTTCGCAGAAAGTGTTTGACGAAAAAACGTTTTCGAAATTTTCAGTAGAAATTTGCTAGTGGGAAAACGTCAAAGATTTTACCAGAAAGTTCAAAAAGGTTTTTAGGGAGGGACCTGCGCTTCCTCGTCGGAAACTCTGAAGAAGCCTAATAAACATTATATGATTCTATACTCTCTTCTCGTGGTTGTTCTGTTTTCCGCGTGATGGCACTGTATTTACAAGCCTTTGGGTTTTTTGTGCTTTCCTTTGTTGCGAGACGTTTTCTTGGACATAAAATAAACTGTCAAGTTCAAGTTCAACTGATCTAAATTACACGCATTTTTTTAATGATAGTGTTTCTTTTTTTTGTTTTATCAAACTCTGTAAAAACAAAGTTAATGCATATATTACTCCTTAGGGATACTTTTTAATACAAAAAAAAGATAGATGTAATGATGATGTCAATAATGACAGTTGTAATATATTTTATCATCAAAAACGTCAAATACAGATACACTAGATAATATATACATGACTAACCCTTATTACACACCTTTCAATGTAAATCGTATGTTTAATTCAATGCTTAATCCATGATATAAACCAAATTTTACGCAAGTTATTTGTCCAAAAATAGTAAACTTTCATTTTCTTTTTAGAAAATGTTGACATAATTTTGAATGTTCTACTCAATGTGACTGACAACAATTTCATCTGAAAAGAAATAGATTCTTAAGAGAAATATTTCAATTATAGTATCGATAAGTAGATATAGTAGATTCTTGTATAAAAAACAAATTTTACTTAAAATAAGATAGACTGGATAGTAAATGCCTCGATTGTGCAATTAGTTTTCAGAAATTGCTTATAAAAGCAACTGAATCATTAGTGCGTAAGAGAAAGAATATCATTTTGTTTTTGCTCAAAGCATAATGAAAAAGAGATGCATACACATTATACGCGTTTCAAATGAAAAACAAAACGTCCATGACAATTTTAAAGGTCGAATATTAAAAAAGTCTGTGCATCATCATAAGGTCAAATTTTCGATTACACTAGTCTCTTTATCTACATGATCTGACTAATTATATCTACTTTTTTTGTAATTAATAATTTAATAATCAAACTTTTATTATAAGTAAAACGGGATTAATTTCCTTTTTACATTAGCATTCCATCTTACAATTTCATTTAATATAATCATCATTAAACAGCAAAAGAGAGAGAATCTGAGATGAAATCAAACAAAGGTTGCATGCATGGATGAATAAATTAATTTGTAAATATTCACTTTTCATTTCTAATCCTAATAAATGATACAAGAGAAGGCCATTTACAATTAAAAAAACAAACAAGAGAAAAAAAAATCAAGAATGTCATTAAAATTTTCTTAATATAATCGTCCAAATTCTACATAACATCCTATAAAACGACGAGAGTAATCAAAAATGAACTCAATACAAGTTGACAAGAAAATATCAGAGACTATGAAATATCTGAACAATGTACAAACAAAAAATATAAACAAAGAAAAAAATATTTACACTAATTAGCATAAATTCAGTTTAATAAGGGGACAGTGAATAATCAAGATGATATTTGCTTCGATAGGTTTAAACACAAAATATCCAAAAGGTTTATAACAATCAAAGTTTGAATGTTGAGTAAGTTTTTTGTTGCTGACTAGTGGTAGGAATCTGACTTTCTTGACAAAAACATGATCGAATTTAGAATACTGCGTTTTCGCGTTACCTAATAGTGATCAGGACTTCTTTCGTGAGAAAAGGATCACCGTTTCGTACTAACAAAAGAGAAAAAAAGTTTTTTGTTTACATCTGACTACAATTTTAGGAAAAATGTAAAATTTTTATTCAGTTTAATATACTAGAAGCATTTTGTAAATGTTCAATAACATACGTTCGATCAGGATTGATACGTGATAATCGATCATTTTTATCGATTAATATTTGTAATTTATCAACACCTGGATTTGATTTATCTGTACGTAATTCACTAAAACGTTTTTCAACAAATGATGATAATTTTTGAAGTTTTTCTCTTGAGGTTTGCAATTTAATTGTATCACTCTGTACATAATTCAGTTTCTCTAACACTTCTTTTTCTCGTTGTTTAATTTCGTCGTTAAACAATTCATTGAGGTTGATTTTGGTTTGTTCGAATGTTGGTTGAATTGTTATACTCTCAAAATGTTTTTTTGACTTTTTAATCGGCACTTGTTGTTCCTGATGATTTTCTTTGTTAACTTTCTTTTTAGAAAGCATTACTGAACGTTACAACGATACTTTATAAACTCAGTAGAACTCAATGAAACAAATGACAAACGGCTATTTTTTTAACGGCTAGTCTAGTCAGAAGATGAAACAAAGCCTTCGTTGTTAAACTATCCATTGAGATTAGAACAAACGCGACATCTATGCGCAAATAAAGGCGCTAGCTTACCTAAACACGTTACTTGTTGCGTACTGTTGAAACAATATTCGCGATTTACACGGTCTATGTTTATCCAAACGAAACCAAAACCGTCAACCGAGAGAGTTAAGAAATCAATGGAAAAACTTTGAAAATCAGATAAGCAAAGTGTCAAAACTCCTTTCTTTTTGTCCAAAATACAGAAGGAACGGTTTGCAGTTACATCGTAATTATTTTTAAATGAACCTTGTCGTATCGAATGAACCTGCAATAAACACAAAAAAGAAAAGTCAAATAAAGAAGTTCAGAATGAATTACGCTCATATTTTAATTTTTTTATCATAAAATCTTGATGTTTCTCAGTTTTAACACGTTTATCTAAACCCTAGAGAAAGTACTGAGTTCAAGGTACCCATGTACTGAGAAAGCCTCAGCAAGGTACCCGATATGGGTACTTCGAAAATTCTTAGTAATTATACTAATGTAGGTACTGCATTGGGTACCCATAGC